TAACCAAAGTCCTCTTAGATTTTTTTTAACTGTGTCTATTTATTACCTTGAGAATAGAGACAATAGGAGCACAAAAAGAGTTCTCTGTAGTATAATATAGTACCTGCAATAATAAGAATTTTATCCTAATGGGAGAGTAAGAGAAACTGTCAAGAGTGAACTGGCCACCTGATCAGGGTTTTAAGGATTGTTCAGCATTCATTTAGCATTCAAGGAGGAGGAAAAGTATTTATAAATTCTTACAAAACGGAGGGTACATGAGAGATACGAGTTTCAAAAATTTCTACACATTTCTACCCTCTTCTACACAGAAGAGAGCGCACGTGTGGACAGCTTCTCCCTGGGTCTCAGCTTCTTTCCAGGTCTCTCATCCTCAAATGAGGTGTGCGGGATAGTCTGGAGTTACATGTGAGCTGCCCACTGGCTGGATTCTAACACAGATGTGTTTTTGTTTGGCTCTGGCAGTATTTAAACTCTATCTATGGTGAGCTGAATACAGTTGTACATAGACCTCTTTCCAGATCCCGTGCGACAGATTAAAAACCTATGTCATACCAGGTTTTTACCTTGTGAGTTTGCCATGTGGGCTGGTGCCGTCTATACATGACCTACATAATGCCAGTCAGCAATAACTACCATTACAAAGCACTTCACTACATTGCATATCACTGGTGGATCATCTTCTTCTTTTTTTTTTTAATTTTATTTTATTATGTTGTGTTAATCACCATACATTACATCATTAGTTTTTGATGTAGTGTTCCATGATTCATTGTTTGCATATAACACCCAGTGCTCATTCAGTATGTGCCCTCTTTAATACCCATCACCAGGCTAACCCATCCCCCCATGCCCCTCCCCTCTAGAACCCTCAGTTTGTTTCTCAGAGTCCATAGTCTCTCATGGTTCATCTCCCCCTCTGATTTCCGCCCCCTTCATTTTTCCCTTCCTACTATCTTCTTTTCTTTCTTTTTTTTTAACATATAATGTATTATTTGTTTCAGAGGTACAGGTCTGTGATTCATCAGTCTTACACAATTCACAGTGCTCACCAAAGCACATACCCTCCCCAATGTCTATCACCCAGCCACGCCATCCCTCCCACCCCCGCACCACTCCAGCAACCTTCAGTTTGTTTCCTGAGATTAAGAATTCTTCATATCAGTGTGATCGTATGATACATGTCTTTCTCTGATTGACTTGTTTCGCTTAGCATAATACCCTCTAGTTCCGTCCACGTCATTGCAAAAGGCAAGATTTCGTTGGGGTTTTTTTTTTTTTTTTATGTCTGCATAATATTCCATTGTGTATATATACCACATTTTCTTTATCCATTCATCTGTTGATGGACATCTTGGCTCTTTCCATAGTTTGGCTATTGTGGACATTGCTGCTATAAACACTGGGGTGCACATGCCCCTTTGGGTCACTACATTTGTATCTTTGGAGTAAATACCCAGTAGTGCAGTTGCTGGGTCGTAGGGTAGCTCTATTTTCAACTTTTTGAGGAAACTCCAAACTGTTTTCCAGAGTGGCTGCACCAGCTTGCATTCCCACCAACAGTGTAGGAGGGTTCCCCTTTCTCTGCATCCTTGCCAACATCTGTCGTTTCCTGACTTGTTAATTTTAGCCATTCTGGCTGGTGTGAGGTGGTATCTCTTTGAGGTTTTGATTTGGATTTCCCTGATGCCAAGCGATGTTGAGCACTTTTTCATGTGTCTGTTGGCCATTTGGATGTCTTCATTTGGAAAAATGTCTGTTCATGTCTTCTGCCCATTTCTTGATTGGATTAGTTGTTCTTTGGGTGTTGAGCTTGATAAGTTCTTTATAGATTTTGGATACCAGCCCTTTATCTGATATGTCATTTGCTAATATCTTCTCCCATTCTGTTGGTTGTCTTTTGGTTTTGTTGACTGTTTCCTTTGCTGTGCAAAAGCTTTTTATCTTGATGAAGTCTCAATAGTTCATTTTTTGCCCTTGTTTCCCTTGCCTTTGGCGATGTTTCTAGGAAGAAGTTGCTGCAGCTGAGGTCAAAGAGGTTGCTGTCTGTGTTCTCCTCTAGGGTTTTGATGGACTCCTGTCTCAATTTAGGTCTTTCATCCATTTTGAGTCTATTTTTGTGTGTGGTGTAAGGAAATGGTCACTGGTGGATCTTCTTAAGGCTCTGTTCCTGAAAGTAATTTAAGATCCAGATAGCAAGAATACTGTGAAAGTAATCTGTGTCTTCAAAGGATTGTGGTTACTGCCACAGTGATCTGCTTTTGAGTTTCCCACTGGCAGTTCTGGCTCTGTAGCGTACGCTGGACTATAGGAACATTTTCATTTGGAGGGTGGTGTTTGCCTGGAGACCTGACCCTGATGAGTGTCATCACTACCTTTAAGAAGTCGCTCTGAACAGAGCCGTGTATAGCCGTAGATGTTCATTGGGCTCCCCGGCCTCTCGTCATCTTGTTTCATTCTTTTGATGGCATAGCTTCCTCTTTTTTTTTTTTTTTGGAAACTTGATCCCTCCAAAGAGAATCCTCGAGGTGCTATTGGGATTTCATAGTGAGTCCTCAGCGGAAAACACGTGGGATAGATTAGCCTAAGCTTTTGTCATTCAGCTCCTCTGGTTTCTGCCTTTTTAAAAATTGTCTGGGTCTATAAAAGGTTTTTCAGTAACTGATTTTTGCGTAAACATGACTTTCTTAATTGTGTATGATGTTTTATTCTTTCAAAGTCATACACAACTCAAATAGAAATGGACTCAGGAGACTATAATAAATGGAAAGGCAGGAGGAGATGTCTAGAAATGACAGCCTAGAATTTTCAGCAGAGCAGTGATCTCAGCCTCTCCTAAAACCTGTGGGAACCGGAGGCCCCAAGGGAAAAGGCAGCAGTCTGGGCCACACAGCTAATCAGCAGAGCTGTAGCTACATGAGGTCTTAAACCACATGTGGTGCGTTTCTGAGCAAGGGCATCTTGCAACCCTGTGCCAGAAGCTTAAACATAAAAAGGAATTGACTGCTCTCAGCTTGTTTCTCTCCTTCACCTTCACTTTATTTATCTTTGTGTTTTCTCTTCTGGGCTTCCCCTGTGCCATAAAAAAAAAAAAAATCACTTTGTTTAAGATTCTTCCATACCATGGGCTCTGTTCAGAAGTGCTGTGTGATGAATGGTAGATGGGCAGCTTTGTAATTTGCCCTGATTAGATTGTAGAGTTACGTCCCAGCTGCGTGACTTACTAAATATTTACAGATTCGCAAGTCTGCAACACTGCAAAGTTGTCTTGTTTTATGGATGTGGGGCCTTTTGCATGATTGCATTATGGTAAGGGGAGGACCACCTGCTGCATCTGTGCTGACGCGGCCGAAGCAGCAGCTGCTCAGAGGTGGCCTCAGGGCCACCCAGAGACCATCCAGCTGAAGCCTTTAGACAAGAGTCACCTCAAAGCTGAGTGAGCGAGACATCAATGTGTCATTTTCATGCGGATGGTACATGTTCTAACAAGAATCCTTCATAGTTCTCTACCCCAAAGAGCACTGTGCAGAGAGTCTGACCCAGAAGTTCAGAATCCTCAGATCTAGCTCTGGCACTGCCTCTGAAAGTGGACAAGACACCTGTCAGTGCTGGACCTCATCTGTGAAGCAGTCCGGTGAGATGCGCTTGAAGGTGGGCTCCTCAGCGTTTCTCAGGGTGTTCAGATTCTCTTGTTACATGCTCTGGCGTTTCTAGTCCTCATCCCCTTCTTGGGTATGCCAAGCACTAGGTGCCATGTACAAAAGCACATGTTCATTCTAAGGGAAGTGTTGCTATAGTTTCTAAGAACTAGTTTCTATTCATAGTGTATCACCAAATCCCATCATCCTTAGAAGTGAATTTAAGGATGAACAGCCACTTCGCAGAGGAGGCTATCCAGATGGCCACTAAGTGTATGAAGAAGTGCTCAACATCATTGTATTCCTTAGGGAAATAAAAGTTAAACCTCATTGAGCTACAATGGCATACCCAGCAAAATGGCTACAATAGGAAATCTGACAATAGCTAGTTTGGGCTAGGGTGTAGAGCATCTAGAACGCTCATACGTTGCTGGTGCAGTGTATAATGTAAAACCATTCTGAAAAGGTTTTGTAGTGTCCTCTAAAGCTAAACTTACTCTGTGACACAGCAGTTCAGCTCCTAGGTTTATATCCAAGAGCAAAGATTCCATCTGGCCACCTAAATGCATGTAAAGAACTCTCTTGGTGGCTTTATTCCTAATAACCCCAAACACAAAACAGTCCAAATGTCCATTAGCAGAGGAGAGGATAAACAGATGGTGACTTTGTATCATGAAATACGACATAGCAAGAAAGAGGAATGAATGTGACAACATGGGTGAATCTCCTAGCGTTCTGGTAGCAAAAGAAACCAGACACAGAAGAATGCATTCTTGTGGTTCCATCAACAAGGAGTTGAAGACCTGGTAAAACTAGTCTATGGTGATTAAAGCTATACCAGGGCTTACTTCTGGCATGAGAGGTTCTTGCTGCAAGAAGGACACAGGCGATGGAACTGCTCTGTCGCCATCTGGTTGGTGGTTACGTGCTTGTGAACACGTAAAAAATCACCGAGCTGCCCATGTGCACTGCTCACTTTCTTGCATGGCAGTCGTGCCCCAATAACAACAATTGGGAAGGGAAGTGCATCCGAATGATTCATCTGTGTCCTTGATCCCCTGCACTTTGGTGTTTTAGGCCTGTGGACATGCAGGGCAGAGTGTGCGGGTGAAGCCAGAGCAAAATTACTTTCCGCATGGCGCTTGCTATTACACAGCTCTTAGATTGGCCCAGGTATGGGCTGCTACTTGGAGAAGCGTAGCGATTCATATTTTTGATAAGTCATTTTGGACCCCACCTGGACCACACACTATCAGAGGGTGTGCTCCTTTCTAGGAAGCTGTGGTCCAGTAGCTGATTTTCAAGTAAAGTATGACTTTTAGGTGGAATCTTATAGAAAGTGTGGTGGGCTTTCATTTCCAGGGGTGGCTGCCAGAGAGACAGCCCAAGCTCTGAAAACGCTGGCCCAGGCTGCTCGTGGGGTGGCCGCATCCACGAGCGACCCCGCAGCTGCGCATGCCATGTTAGATTCTGCTCGAGACGTCATGGAAGGCTCCGCCATGCTCATCCAAGAAGCGAAGCAGGCCCTGATTGCACCTGGGGATGCTGAGAGTCAGCAGAGACTAGCCCAGGTGAGGCCCAGAATTGGCAGTGATGGTCATCACTAAAGTGGTCGTGTTGGCAGGCTATCTCCTGGGCACTCTTTTCCCGGTGTGAACATTTTTCAATCAGTGGGTGTTTTCAAAACTTCCCAAAGTACTATAGCAATGGAGGCCGTACACGATTCCCACTTTTGTGAGTCTTGCCTAGTCCCCCCCATAATAGGAGATCTGCTTAATTGAGTCAACAGAGAGTATGGGGGCAGGGGCGCTCTTGAAATCTATCCTTGGAATTTCGGGAGCCAGGACCCAGCATGTTTGTTGGGGACCCGTGCATGCTTAAGTATATTCCTCTTCCTAGTCTGGGAGGTGAGGTAGATATACTTAGTCTGGCTCGACTGCCTTTTTGGATGAGTCTTTGCCAACCTAATGAAACTAGTGGGCTAGAGGCCATCTGGGCAAAGCTCTAGACCGGAAGCTGGGAAGGAGATGGTCTAGTTAAAGGGAATGACACAGCCCACTTCCAAAGACCTTACCCTTGACCTGAGTGCAGACAGCGAGCCGTTGCCCATCCTAAAGGGACAGCATGTGGGCAACTCCAAGTTGGTCTGGAAGCACTCAGAGCGTCCTGCCTGCCCTTGGGCGGGGTGTGGTCTGGGGGTGATGGCCCCAGATTGTGACACCTAACTGTGACCCAAAGAACGCAAGGCCTCCTTCCACTTCGGTGACCTCCGCGGGGCTCTCAAGAAGGGAGCTCTTTCTGTTTCTCTTGGTGGTGGCTCTCTTTGTTGTGGAACCTGACATAATATTGGAGACTTCTGGGTTTGAGTCACAGAATTGTGACTTAGCCTGGTGCCGGGTGCACGTAAGGCGTACCGTGTCACTGTGTCAGCCCCTTTGCCAAGGCAGGACGTTAACCCCAGTGAGAGGCCTCAGCGAGGTGATATAATGGCAAACAGCGTCCGCTGGATGCTGGCAGATCACGTCCCGATGCTTTCCAGCTCTGCGTACTATCACTGCTGGCTCCCCACCCGTCTGCCGCAGGGCTGGGAAGGTGCTGTCTCACGGGGCTTTTCTCCCTGTGTGTATGCAGGTGGCCAAAGCCGTCTCGCACTCCTTGAATAACTGCGTGAATTGTCTCCCGGGGCAGAAGGATGTGGACGTGGCCTTGAAGAGCATTGGCGAGTCCAGCAAGAAGCTGCTTGTGGACTCGGTGAGAGGCTTTGCATGGGGAAGGGGGGCACTGGGGGGCTGGGCTCACTCTGGGTGCGAGAGGAGTCTTCTCCCTTCCGTGGGATCTCTGAGCCGCTAACCTCTGTCTGAGGAGGCCCGTTTTGCCTCCCAGTTTGCCTTTCCTTGTTCTGCTTTGCCATCAGCAAAGTTTCCAGGTGGAGCTTTAAAAGTTTACTTTTTCTTTGAGTCCATGTTGCTGTTTGCTCTGCGGTCAGCCCAGTGAAAACAGGAAAGGTGGGTATGTGATCCTCTGACTTCTTATCAGGACATCTCAGGCAGGGACAGTCATGTGGTGGAGGGATGTGTGTGTCTAAGACATCTGAGAGAGTGAGTAGTCTAAGGAATCTACTTGCTTTCGGAGCCCATTCCCAGTTTTGTGAGCCCCTTTCCGTGGGGTGGTGGGGGAGGGTGGAGCTGGGCTCATTCATTTCTTCTCGGCCTGGTGCCTGGCACATACCAGGTCCTCAAGCAGTGTACATGGTAGGACTAATAGAGCCTAGCTTAACTCTCTGGAGCAAATAGGAATAGTTCCACCAATGACACTTCTGATCCACACAAAAGCTATGTGAGCAAAGGCTACTAATAAAATTGGTGGCTATTAGTTTGGAAGAATAGGATGTAAAGTTTAATAGCATCTGTCTTTTCGTTCTAGAAAGCTAAACCTTTGAGAGGTTCCATCCAAAATGAAGTGGTGGTTCAGAGCATGGATCCTGGAGTCAGACTGCCCAGGTGTGAATCCTGGCTCTGCTACTGAGGGGACCATAGCCCCCAAGGATAGACCACTTTTAGATCTACTGTGTCTAGCACTGAAGAGGTGTTTAGTAATTCAGTGAATGAAATAATGTCTGTATGTTAAAGGTCACACTTAACATAGGTGGCCTCAGACCACACAGAACCTTATAGTCTAGATGACTCAGAAATGCAGCCCTGGGAGAGTCTTTCCCTCCACAGAGTCTTCCTTCATTTCCCCCATGCGAAGTAAAACTTCTTATGGGGTGTGCCTTTTCTCCCCACTGCAGTTACCTCCGAGCACAAAGCCTTTCCAGGAAGCCCAGAGTGAGCTGAACCAAGCCGCGGCTGATCTGAACCAGTCTGCGGGGGAAGTGGTCCATGCCACCCGGGGCCAGAGCGGAGAACTGGCTGCAGCCTCTGGCAAGTTCAGTGATGATTTCGATGAATTTCTCGATGCTGGCATTGAGATGGCAGGCCAAGCTCAGGTGAGTGTGGCGGTGGCTGCCTGGAGCAGACCCTTGCCTGTCTATTCTGGTGGACTGTCTGCCCTGGAGGCGCTGGGCAAATAGGAACAGGGAACCTGTCAGCAGGTCATGCTGTTGTGTTCTCTTTCCCGCTTAGAAAGCTCTGTGACCTCACAGGCCTGGCATTCCTAAAGACGCTATTAGCTTATGTGTGAAATGCTTCTTAGAGATGAGGGATAACCACCCACGATCATCCAGCAGGGTTCATGGAGGGAGGGCAGCTCTGTGTCCTGTACTTCTTATGTGGTATAATACAGTAAAAAACAATGTGTTTGAGGTTCATTGGGCCCATTGGAGGGGGCTGTGTCTAATACCAAGTGTCAAATGATTAAAAATTACCTCTTTGAGGGACACCTGGGTGGCTCAGTCAGTTAAGCATCTGCTTTCGGCTTGGGTCATGATTTCAGGGGTCCTGGGATCGAGCCCCACATCGGGCTCCCTTCTCTGTGGGGAGCCTGCTTCTCCCTCTCCCTTTGCCTGCCACTCCCCCTGCTTGTGCTCTCTCTCTCTCTCTCTGTCAAATAAATAAATCATTAAACAAAATCACCTCCTTGAGATAAACAGATAAAGCCCTTGTTCAGAACAAGGGAACATGACTGGTCTGGTGTCAGCCTGCAGAGCTGTTTTTTCTTGAGCTCCTGTGAACTCCCTAAAGGAGACACCCAGGGTGTCTTGCTCTGTGATCTACAAATGGTTGTTTCTCAGATAGGAAGTCAGCCAGGTGAGAAATGTGCCTTTCCCCTGAGTCAGGAACTTCTGGGGTGCAGTCAGCTCTGAGTACGGAGACAGTGCCGGGCATTTGTGCCAGGCTGAGATGTATGAGCTCCTTGACAACTCCAGCATTGTTGAGCAAGACGCTGGAATCCTGGCCTGGTCTGTGCACTGATGTGCTGGTGCTGTCTGTCCCTCTCTCTCCTTCCCTCCCCCGCTTTCAATGCTTGCACTTGTGAGACAGCACAGCTCTTGGCTGACCCACTTGGGGATGGATCTCTGTCCTGTGGCGGGCATCTTGGTGTGGCTGTCTGTTTGGGGGAGGGTAGACACGGGGCAGTGTCTCTACCAGTTAGCCACCTGCAGACTAATGGGGCTTAATGCAGTCTCTGTAGATAACTTGCTTCCATTTCAAGATGCTTCTTCCAGCTCTCTGAATGCTGCCTGGGAGAAATGGACGGTCCCTGATTACTCTGCCTCCTTTCAACTTTGCAGACGAAAGAAGACCAGATCCAAGTGATAGGCAACCTCAAGAATATCTCTATGGCATCCAGCAAGCTGTTGTTAGCTGCCAAGTCTCTCTCGGTGGATCCAGGAGCCCCCAATGCAAAAAATCTCCTGGCAGCTGCTGCAAGGTAAGAGTGGAACAAAACGTACTTTCATGTGTGGTTAAATAATGTCGGTGTTTGAGAGACAGGCCTGACGTCCTGCTGCTCTGGCGAGGAGCAAAGCCCTGGTGCTGTTTTCATGTTGTCAGGGGCAGAGTCGTGACTGTGGCATTTGATTAAACCGGCTCATCCTCACGTGCTTTCCCCACTAGAGATGTTTTCTGTCTTCTCTTACAGCCTTTCAGCTTGCTTAGACTTAAGGCCCCTGTTGATTTATAAGCATGATGGCTTAAATGGATGTTCTTAAAGGAGTGTTATATCTTTCTAATGATGAAAGTAGTATGTGCTCATTGAAAAAAATCAGACAGTACTAAAAAGTATTAAAAAAAGACAAACACACACACACCCACAACACCCAGCAAGCCATTCAACATTTCTTGAGCACTTACTGTGTGCTTGGCATCAAGGCATCATTCATTCATGAGATGAATTTAAACATGTTCCATTTGTCACGTGCAGAAGGGCTCCAGTTTCGGGTGAATGGGGTAGTGGTGGGAGTCAACTGTTGAGTTCGGGGTGGTGCCAGTGTCCTTTCCCGCTGTTTTCGCCCGAGGAAGCGGTGAATACAACACAACGTCCGCTCCGGGGCCACTGTTTCAGTTTCGTTCAATAACCAGTGACTGAATGCCGGTCCGTGGAGAAACTGCAGTGACAGCCCGGGAAGATTTTGTATTAGCAAACCCACATTCATTTTCCTGAACCAGGAGGGTGCGGGGTGTTTGATACTTCTCTAGTGCTGTGGGCCTGTTCGTCTTAGCATTGCTTGGCATCACTTTGTGTATAGGAAGGCTCACAGCAGGAAGAGATGAAGTGCAGGCAGTTAGGATATATAGCATAATTGGAAACCTTTTCAGAATGTGCAAATTAGTGATTTTTAAAAAGCATAGCTTGATTTCTACTTTTCGATTTTCTTTTTTTCAACTTGATTTTGCTTGTTTACTTGTGTATTTGTCTTTTCATGTCTTTCTCTCTTCTGGGTGCTCAGCGGCTGTCTTTTTAAATTGAGTTCAGAGTCAGGAGAGCTGAATTCTAGTCCAGGCTTTAATGTTTGACACACTTGGTTACATTGGTTGGATTGTTCAACCTGTCTCAACTTTACCATCTGCAACATGAGGGTGGGTACTACGTCATCCTTAAGTTCTAAGTTCTTGTTAGCTCTCATCAGTATATAATATATCTTGGTGCTTATGGTTAAAACTGGTCTCTGGTCTCCTCTTGGCCTGTAGTGCTTTATTTATTTGTTTGTTTATTTATTGTTTGCGGGTGGTAGGGGTTGGAATTAGATCATTTTAGAGCAGGTCCCTTGAAAGCCCGTGAGTGTCTGTAGTTCTTCCTAGGTGTATATACTTCAGCTTCGAACAGTAGCGAGAGCCCCTAGGAGACTGGAAAAATACCCTCCCACCTCCCTGCCTCCAGCTTCTGCTTTGTGGCTGGGCTGGCGGGGCCCTCTGAGGGGTGGGGGCTGAGGAGGGAGGCGTGATGTCCTCTCTGTTGAGCAGCTGTTTCTCATATGAAACCCTCTCTTGATTCTTCTTTTTCCTACAGAGAGCCTTTGGATAGGGCAACTGATGTTTCCAGGTATCTGAACTCAGATGTTTTTCATTATCTTCAGTTTTTTGCATCATTTCAAAATTAACAATTTCCAGCTTAGAACGCACTGTTCACTCTCTTAAATCAGGGAAGAAGGGAAGAGTGTAAATTGGCCTTTTGCAAGCCAGGTAGGGAAGCTTCCGGAAGGCAGGCCCTAAAGGATTATGGCGGGTGTCAGGGCTCTGTGGGTGTCTGAAGGCCCCCTGGTGGTGACATTGAGGAAGGGGCCTGGAGACGAGGTAATGACAATTTCTTTGCCTCTGTCCTGGCTTTGAGCAGTTGACAGGGGTTCCAGCCTGATGGTTTCATAGCCAAGTACGTGCTTAAAAATCATCACAGGAAATGACTGTCTCAGGATGGAACTGTGGTCAGAAGATGCCGGCACATTCTCCTTGCCTTCTTGGCACATGTTGGGAAGCTCTGCTCCTTGAGGTGGTTTCCCAGTGGAAGCTCTGGCCAGGTCAAGTGAGTCAGGTGAGCTGTTCTTCGGAGGTGAAGCTCTGCACAGCTGGGGTGCATTCATTCATTCATTCAACAGATTTTTACCACGTGCCTGAAATGGGCTGGGCCCAGCACTGGGGCTGGGTGGGCGCACACTGTGATAAGATAGGGATAGCCCAGTGGAGTTAGGGCAAGGGACATGCACACACACAGCATGCTCACCTCATTCCATCTGGATGCTGAAGCAGCCCTGCATGTGAGTGCTCTTGGAGTTGAGCCGCTGGGATCTGACTGCTGTTGTCCTCATCTTCAGTCCCACCACCCTCCCCATTCCTGGGACAGCCCAGCCCTGCCTGTGTTTCATGATGTCCCCAAAGGCCCCACTGATGCCATTGTGGGGACCTAGACCTGGACCAGTGCAGCCCTGCCCTGCTCCTACATCCGTAGACTTGAATCCTTTGTTCTTGATGGTCTCCATGATTCTTCCTGCTTTGGGAAAAAAGATTGATCTCTGGAAAAGCAGGTAGGTATGCCCTTTCCCTCTGTTCTTCATTCTGCATCGGAGCCCAGGTACACATGAGGAGCCCAGTCCTTTGGTTTCTGATGCTTAGAGGAGATGAAGTCATTTTCTGTTTAGTGCCCGGCTTGTTTGTCTTTTTCCTGTGTAAGTGGTGAGCTCTGACTCTCTTCTGACGAGCTGGGTAGAGCTGGAGACCCTTTGTTAACCCTTCAACAGCTTTTTCCCTGGCCAGGGGCTGGTCTGATGCTCCCTGAACTTAGTCAAAGAAATGGAAAACCAGGTTGCATTGGAAAAAGGAGGGCGCATCCTACCTCTGAGCACCTCCCCTGCTCCAGCGCTCACACCATGGTCATGCTGGCCAGAAGGACTCCCTGGCTGAGACTTCACACCCACGGCTGTTGCTGCCAGCATTGGGACCCAGCTGCTTTCCTGTCCCCTGAGGCTTCCCTAGAACTTTGCAGGCAATTCCTCTTCCTGGGCTGCCCTTTGTTTTGAGGTTCCTGCCAGGCAGGCTTCCTCCTGTCTCCAGAGACAGTGAAAAAGGATACGCCAGCAAGCAGCGCTTCCACACTGTGGCATAGAAAAATATAAACTAGGCCATTTGTTGGTCTCCTGTAGAATGTTCTCTTCCCTTTATCCAAATCAGGATCTCACTGACTTCTCCGATTGTTGCAGTCCACATCGAGCTCTCCCTTCCATGCAGAACCCATGCCATCTGTGTGTGTTCCCTGCGAGCCTAGAGCGTGTCTGGCCTCTCGGAGGTTCGGGATCCTGTATGACTGCTCCCGCCTTCACTGCTTCCTTTGGTTTACCTTCTGTGTGTCTTACCTGTTCATTATCCGGCTTCTCCAACCGGATTGCAAACACCTTGCTTTCCCAGAGAGACAAACTATATTATTTTTTAATTGCCATACCTTGTACAGAGCAGGACCTAGGGAATATGCACATGTGGAATTTGGAGTGCTCTTTTTTTCCTGCCTAAGGACGTTGTCCCTTGAGGAAGGGAAATGTCTGATGTTGGTGTTTTCCCCTCCAAGCTCCTTATCAGATGATTTGTGCTTACCAGATCATCAGAAGCAGAAATTGGTTGATTTTCTTCTCTCACCCTTGGCCCATCTCCATATCTATTGAGAATTTCCCTCCAGAGCTCCCAAACTAGTTGAATCAATTCAGTCAGTATCTCTGAATACTAAACAATGTGTAGGTTAGAGGCCTTTTTTTTTTTTTTTTAAGATCTAAGGTTATAGATTCCAATTAAAAAAAAACAAAAACAAAAACTGAGAGTGGCTGGATATGCCTAAAGAACGAAACACAAGTAAACTCTACTTCTAGATGGGAGAATTATGGTTGCTTAACTTCTTTTTATTTTTAGAAAATAAACTTGTGCAGCTTTAGTCATTTTTTTTAAATTGTGGGAAAACATTTTAAAACTGCGGTTCAGGCCTATCTGGATTCATATAGAACAGAGGGAGGATGCTGCTATTTTTGGCCCTCTCTTTGTGACAGTGTAAATTGGCTAAATCATCATTTTTTATTGGATTTACTGAAATTTTTTATTTAAAAATAATAAAATTACTTTAAAAATATTATAAATCTAACTTTTTGTGTCATTCTGTCACTTTTTGAGTATATATATGTTTAATTTTGCAGCTGTGGGCTCCTGTTTCTACTGTTTTATAAATTTTGTTAATTGTGAATCATGAATATTCTTCTATGTTAGGAATATGCTATGCATTATGACTTCTAACGGGCACCCAGAATTCCAGTGTAGACTATACATTTATTTATTTAGTCAATCCTCTGTCATTGCATATTTGGGTTGCTTCTAATCCTTTGATCTTACAACTAACTGCTATAGTTTGAAGCATAAAAATACTATTTTTCATGGTCAGATCTACATAACCCTTTGCCTCTGGGCCACTTATTTTATTACTGGGGTATCTATTCCAGACTCTAAAATGAGTTATGAGGATAAATAATACCTAAATCATGCTCCCTAATCATGGATCAGTATTACCACAGTGACTCATTCAGACATCCATGCTGTGCTGGCACTTTTATGGATTATCCAACCACAAACCGCTAGTCTGTTGGGGTTTTTTACCCCAAGTTTTTATTTGAAAATTTTTCACATCTAAAAAATCAATAAAAGATGAGGACAATAAGCAGCTATATATTCTTTGGATTCCCCAATCGTAAACAGTTTTTAATGGACAAATCTATATATAAAAACAAGGTTTTAAAAAAAAAAAAAAAAACAGATAAACAGGAAACATTGAAAGAAATAAGCTAAAGGGAACGCTTGTGTGATACGTGGAAATATCCTGCACTGTTGAGGGCATTCTGCACCCTTCGTTATGTTCACACCTGTCCACCCGGAACATGGCTCTGGACTCCGAGGGACCCATCTGGGAAATACATCATGGACCACACCCTCCAAGATGCCCAGAGTTAGACCTTGCCTGCTCTCTCGGTGGTTACTGTTCGCCTTTCCACCACCGAGAACCCAGTGCTTCTGTATGAAACCTTCATTAAGCACTTGGCCCCAAATAAATGAATCGCTAGAGTCAATCTTACAAAAACTATTCTGAGATTCTTTCTTGAGTTGAGGAATGTTTTTTCTTCTTCCCATCCACCCTAGCTAAATTTAAAATTCAAAACGGTATCTCCTCATCAAATAATTAAGCTGATTGCCTTTGTACTTTGGCAACATCATTTTCCATCTAATTTGATATTCTGTGGGAAGCTGCAAAGCCAATTTAATGTAATGAGACACCTTTATATTAGGCAGTGCTAATGATTAACAGCAAGTGTGCTCTATTTTGTTTTTGTTTGTTTTATTTTAAGTTGCGGGTTAGCTGCAGTGGGTAGCAACTATGAATAGAATTTAGGGCCCTGCCAGAGCGTAGACCAGTTCTGGCCGTACAGAAAAATGGCTGTGGATCTGGCTTTGGAGTCAGGTAGTCATGGATTTGAGTGTTGTTTTTGCTCCTTACTTGTAGCATCCCCTTAGGGAGTTCTCTCCTATCTGTTTTTGTTTTTTTGGTTTTTTTTTCGTTTCTAAAACACAAGGGTATTCAATTTTAAGACTTAATATAAAAACATTGTGGTATTGGCAAAGGATTAGACACGTGGGTCAGTGGAACAGAGTCCAGAAGTAGACCCACATAAATATGGCCCAGGGGTTGTCGAGAAAGTTACAAAAGCAATGCAATGTAGAAAGAAGAGCCTTTTAAATGAAGGGTGCTGGAATAATTAATTGGACCTACATAAGCCACCCCCACCCTCCACAGAAAAAGAACCTGGACCCATATTTCACACCTTTAAAAAAAATTAATGCAAAATGGACCATGACTTTCTAAATGAACTATGGCCTAACCTAGGCAGGAGTTAGGCAGAGGGTGCTCGGGAGAGGTGGAATCCTTGCCAATATAGAAAAAACTCTGAGCTGCTTCTCAAGTTCTAAGAAGAACAGAAACACATATAAAATCATAAGTCTCTAATTCCTATTAATGTTAAAGAAAAGCTCTTTTAAAGAATAATTTGGGGATAGCTTCTAGGAACTAGCGAATCATGTAGGATTTCATGGAAAGACGAGATTTTAAAATCATGAGCACAGTTTACTCTATGTATGCCTGCTATGTTTTAAAATATATAAAACACTCCAAACAATACAAAGGCTATCCAAAAGAGCCTCAGATCATCTTATCCTTATGGGCTGCTAATGAAGGATATTTAAAAACAGTGTTAAATGATCTTTATGCTATTTGCAACTTTGTTGTGAATTCTTTCCTATGAATATATTAAAAGATAGTCCTACTTTCCTAAAAGAACCATTAGTACCCTTGAAAGGGAAATCAAATGAGTAATCACAGGCAGAGTGGGAACACTCATTCTGTCTTCGCTGGTTGTAGTTTATTTTTGGTTGTTCATAGCCTTGGCGAAGAGCTCTCACGGGGACCCCAGCCTTTATAATGAATTCCTTGTATTTCTGGTGAACCTACAAAGCATTGTTGGGGAAATTACTGTTGATCTTTACAAAATAAAACAAAAACCTTTTATCTGTTTCTGTTACAGAGCTGTGACCGAGAGCATCAATCAGCTCATTACTCTGTGCACCCAGCAAGCTCCAGGCCAGAAAGAATGTGATAATGCCCTACGGGAGCTCGAGGTAGGTCCCTAGAAAGGCTGCTGGGGATTTAAGAGGCTGTGACTCTCTGTCCTTCCCAGAACGGGTCAGTTTCTTCTCCTCTGTTCTTGCCTTATGTCCTTCCTAGAAGACTACTGAGGCCAAAGTTTCGATCCAAGTGAGAAAGAATTGAAGAAAAATTAGATTTGGTGGGTTTATCATCTCTGCTTCCCGTTTTTCCACTAGGATGAGAGTTATTTTGTTTAAAGGACTCTATTTCAAATAGGAAGAGGTCTGGATGTAAGATGAAGACAAGCAATTTCTACCTAAAAAAAGTTTTGGTGTCATTATGCTGGCACAGTTGGGAGAAGCTGGGTTAGATGTTCTTTTTGGGTAAAAATGATTTTCCCATACATTTTATTTTAGACACTGTAGGGGGCACATTAGTGGAAACTCAGGAGTAATACTTACTACCAATCAAGGTGACTATGAGACCTGTAGTGGTCCAGAACACAGTGTGGGTGCTTCCCAATTTATATTCACACTTAGGGCTTATTTATAATGGAAAATTCATCTGTGCCTCTAGGATGTACACAGGTCAACAGAAAATCATTGTGCCCACTTGTATGTAAAGCAGTCCTAACCAGTGCGGGTTATACTGAAACAGCCAACTAGATATCTCAGTGCATATGGGTTGGTTGTACCCAGTATACCTTTAGTTTTCCGGATGATTAGCACGGGAGTACCCAGCATGCCAGAGGGGGTCTGATTGCAGCTTCTGAAGGGTTTGATTGAGGCCCAGTCTGCTGGTGGCAGTTGGCCAGTAAGCACAGCTGAAGGGGAGAGGAGGCTTGTTACCTGAGGACTAAAGCATTCTGAAAACAGTGGAGCCTGATTCCTATGTTGGGTTAATTACTGTCCTATCCCGCTCTGTTCACATCCGCAAACACAGTATGTGGGCTTTTGGTCCAAATAGATCTGTAGGCCCAGATACAAACACCCTGTCCTTTAATGGTATCGTTGGTTGCCAAAATTATGACTCTTTCGGGATGGCTGTTACTAAAACAATTTTGATTGTGTGAAGAGCGGGAAGAGGTTCTTCAGTGAAATGCACTCCTTTATGCTGCCCTCTTTCCTGGGATCTTAGTAACTCAGCAGTTTCCACCATGACCTCCCCCAATCCTTGGCAACTCAAATGGCTGTACCCCCAAAGGCTGCTGGGTCCAAATGTACACTCTCACTCAGTGGGGAGGAGGTTGGATGGCTCTATCCCAGACTTAGCTCCCCTGGAAAATTCCCTCATATGTGACTGTTGGAGATTATTACAACATGCAACTCACGATGATTTTCAGTGGACTAGAGACAAAGGAGCAAGCCCCATGCCCTGCTCCTTGAGGGATTCCTAAATAGGAGTGAATGTTTTCTATACTTTTTGAATTAAAAACAAATGAACCATCCCAGTGGGCAGTTTTAGGGAGTTCCCTTCTTTCATGCCTATGCATTAAAAGGTTCCAGAATTGAAAACTGAAGGTTCTCCTCATCGAGTAGAAATCAGTTAATGTGTCCTTGAAATGTAAACTCCTTGGAGTTACCCAGCAGAGAAATTATGCTAATTGACCATTGCCTTGCATTAGCTTTTAGATTTTCTTAAGGAAAAAAAAAAAAAATCTCTCCCTTTTGTGGATACCATGCTTCTCCTTCAAATTTGTGAACAGGAGACTCTCCTCTCTGTCAAAGCTAACCTGAGACATCCTTCTCCCTGCCATCAGTGTGGTGTTGCTGGCAGGAAATCTGAAGTCACAGATGAAACCATCTAAATTCCTCTCAAGAATGTGGATAAATGAGTGATCATGACCAGAATCCTATATGTGGAGGGGGAGTCGACAGTTGGTATTTTACGTTGAAATTTCTCTTGTTCTATAACACTCGCTTGCTTTTTAAGTTGTGTTTTCCTTCCGTAGACTGTCAAGGGGATGTTGGACAATCCTAATGAACCTGTGAGTGACCTCTCTTACTTTGACTGCATTGAGAGTGTGATGGAAAACTCCAAGGTAAGCCTGTCTGTGCTGTTCACATTCCTCCTCGTTGTGTGGAAGGATCTAGACATGCTCCGTATGCATCTGTCTTTGGCCTCTCTGTGTGGCTGCATATATTACAAAGCCTCACGGTGGAGCCCTTTGCTCAGGTGCTCCTCAAACTTGACTGTGCATCAGAATCACTTAGGGGTCTTGTCAAACACAGATTGCTGGACCTCAGCCCTGAGTTTCTGATTCAGTAGATCAGAGGTGGGGCTGAGATTGTGCATTTCTCACAGCTCCCTCGGTTCCTGCCAATGCAGTCCAGAAGTAACACTTAGAGATACGGTGCTTTATACCATATCGTAGATGGTTCTTACTGTGAATCAAATCATGGATTTCTTTCACTTGGGACTGAATTGCAAGGGAAAGCCCATCAGGGACCTTGGCTATTATGAGACCCCCTTGTCTGTTCTTCTGGCCATCCATTAATGGCATCATTCTCAAGTTACTTGAAAAAATTGGGGGTTCTTTTGGGAGGTGGGAGTGAGAAAATCTAAATATTGCAATAGTTTGTGTCCCCACCCTCTGCCACATCTTAACCTTGCTCAACTAAATCTTACTTCTTCTTATTTACTTTGATGTGGTTAGCAATTGGGGGTGGGGAGGCTAAAAAGATTTCTTAGTGGAGCAATAATGATTTTTTAAAAAGTCGAGAGGCACTAACCTGTGATGGCAATACCGAAGTTGTTGAGAATGCTTCAAAACCGGGTTAAAATGAAATACAAGTGAGACGAGTGGATATGGAACAGTCGCCAGTACCAAGTTCGTGCTTGGAGCACGAGCGCGTGTTTGTCTGCGTCCGTCTGACGTTAGCTTTGGGGACACAGCTGTGTTGGTGATGTCAGGAGGGGCATGCCGTGCAATGGGCTAAGGCTAGAGTTTGCTCTGTCCAGCACCCTTCATGGAAGTCTGGATTGCCTAAGGGAAGGGTGCATGTGTCTTACACACTTAGATCCAAAGAAACTCTTCCTTCCTAAAGAGGGAGGCAGCTTGATAGGAAGGACAATACTGTGCATACAAATACCTTCTAACTTCTCTGCTTTGCAAGTCTTCATGTACACTGGACTATGTTGTGTATCTAAGCAATTTTAGGGAATTTTTTCCCCATCCCAGATGGCTTATTAATGAAGAATTCTGTATTGGCAGTGCCATAGTCTTTCTAAAGGGTTATGTTCAACATCTTCTATTCCATCATCTGTGACCCTGGGAAGTAGGACTAGGACCTGCCTTCTTGGGGCATGACAAGGCCCATGGAAGACAGAACACCAGCTATGGGGCAGGTATCCTGCCCCTGCCCATGTGACCTTCTGTGTGACCTTATGTAGGGTGCTCTACCTCTCTGGGTTGGATTCTAAATATTAAAATCCCTTTTAGCTCTTATTTTAGGACCTCTAGAGAAAAAAGACATCAGTGATTTTCAAAATAAGGGGAAATACTTAAAAATTTAGGAAATAGTCTTAATGTTCAGATCACCCATCTATATATATACGCACACTTTTTAACAAAGCCATACTTAAATTTTACTATCAATAAGTAAATGAATAATATCAGCAAGGGTATGTCTTCTGCTTTCCTGGGTGTGACTCCCTGCAGTTCAGTGTATGTGTCTGATTTTTCTGGGTACTGACAGGTCTCACTTGAGACCATTCACCTCTGGGATGCCCCGTTTAGATTTTACTTTATTGGTCTGTATATATTAACTGTAGCTCTTTGAGATCTAGATAACTTTTTTTCTTTTTTGAAGAGAGAGAGAGCGAGCAGAGCAGGGCAGGGGAGGGGGCTAAAGGGGGGGTTGGGGCAGAGAGAGAGAGGGAGAAAATCCCAAGTAGGCTCTGTGCTGAGCTTGGAGCCAACCGATGCAGGGCTCGATCTCACGACCCTGAGATCATGACCTGAGCTAAAATCAAGAGTTGGACATTTAACCAACTGAGCCACCCAGGTGCCCCAAGATACAGTTTTTAGATGAAAGGTTCATGGTTTCATTATTCATTTCTCTTTATGAAACAGGAATGATATAATTCTCTTAAATCTCCTCTTAATGCATATAAAGAAAAATAATGGCAAATCATGTACATTAAGTGGCCTTGAATGTTAAAGTTGGAAGTGTAGCGCCCTTCTCCCCATGGCTGGAAGAAATGCTGGTTCATGAGTATCACTTGTTGGTTGTTTTGCAGGTTCTGGGTGAGTCGATGGCAGGGATTTCGCAGAACGCCAAGACCGGGGACCTCCCTGCGTTTGGGGAGTGTGTGGGGATTGCGTCCAAGGCCCTCTGTGGGCTGACAGAGGCTGCAGCCCAGGTAAGGGACTGGCCCCCAGGCCCCCTGATGCAGGCCTTCCAGCCTTAAGGCCTGTGTCTTGTGCCTCTGTGCTGTGCTCGAGTGAGGATACCAGGAGTACCCCGTCCCTGTGGGAGGCACTGGGGAGCTCCAACGGCAGCTCCGTCCCCGACCACCATCATAGAAACCATGGTGTAAAGGTGGAGGTTCCTGTGCTGGCTGGGCCATTTCGACACAGCACCAGCTGGTTACCCCCCAGGAGCACAGCAGCCTGGTGAGGACAGTGAAACTCAGAACGCTGCAGACCCAGCATAAGCCTTCAGAGGCCAGATTTGGGTTTTTTGGCTTTTTTCTAAGACCACTTTTAGAGAGGAGTTGTTTTGAGGGGGAAAAAAATGAGTATTACATAATTCACATTCTTTCTGAGGCTTTAAAATTGCAAAAATCTTAGTCACGCTCTTCTTAGGATCAGAGGGAGAAAAAATTAGATACCATCCTGCAGAGACATGATCGGGCATGTTCCTTGCTTTGGTTCGACTGTCCTGTGCATCTGTAATAATTACTGGGCTCATGTGACTGAAGCTTCACAAATTGTCAGCACTCACCTTGAAGGATTTATCATTTAACCGTTAGCTTGTGGCTGGAAAATTTTACTGAACCAAAGGGAAACATCCCTAGTTTGGGGGATGAAATTATCTTTATCCTGCCCCTCAGATCTCCTCGGAAATGACTTAAGATTAAAATTCCCATTCACAGTTTCATTTTCTCCCTGTGATTTGACTATCCAAAGGGTTTAAAGAGAAGACCTTCCCTTAGAGCTTCTTGTCCTCTTAGAGACCAAATAGTGCCTTTTTTTTTTCCTGAGCCATCTTACTCACTCTCCTTACTCCTGGATATACTGGTCTGAACAATAAGGATGCAGTTGGCTATGAGATGAGAAACTCCCATGCACGGCAAGCTCCAAGGTTAACCAACCCAGCGGCTCCATGCCATTGGTCTCCACCCCCTTTTTTCTGCCTATCCCATCTGCCAGCCGAAGAGTCAGCCTCACACTGAGACTGAGTCCCCTCATGGTCCTAAGATGAGCACACAGGGCTGCATTCATCCTTTCCATAGGAAAGCTTCTTGAGGATTTTTTCAGAACAGGAGACTTTGTTCCCAGAAGGCTGCAGGAGACTTGGCCACCATCAGCGTGTCTGTCCTTAAACCCTTACTGGTGAGATTACCCTGACCAACCTGCACCGGGGAGCCCCTGAGAATGCGGCCTGCGCACTGCCGGGCCGTCATCCCTGACAGGCTCATCCGGGAGCACAGAGAATCTGAGCTGCGCTTTCCTTCTCCCTTTCCAGGCTGCATACCTGGTGGGCATCTCTGATCCAAATAGCCAGGCGGGCCATCAGGGCCTCGTGGACCCCATCCAGTTTGCCAGGGCTAACCAGGCTATCCAGATGGCATGCCAGAACCTGGTGGACCCCGGCAGCAGCCCGTCACAGGTAACCACGGGGCAAGGGTGTAAGGTCTGTGAGTCCTTAAACTCTTGTAGGGGGAGAGTTCCCTAATTCCTCACGGTGGGAGACCGTGAGGAATTAGGGAAGAATACTGTTCTTTCCGAGCTTGCTCAGCCAGCTAAAGGCAGCCCTGTGGATAACAACTTGGGAGGGATATTGCAAAATGTGGTGAGCATGGCAATGTGTCAGTGCTTTGAAATGAGGTGCTGGTGGGCAGTAGGATGAAGTCATCGCCGGGAGATTCATCAGGAGTCTCATGATTTCATTCAGGTCAGAGGACGTAGGTGGAGGGCTTGTTCTGTGCTCAGCACTAAGGGTCAACACCAGTTAGACCTGATCCCCTCTATGCCCTGGATCTTCCTCTGTTGGATAAAGCTTGGAAGGTGGGGTGGTCAGGGTATGATGACAGCGCCTGGGATGCACAGAGGAACATGTGCTGAGCTCTGTAAGGGCCTGTCAAGGTTCACTGCACAGAAATGGTGGCCCTGAGCCAGGCCTCAGAGTCTGGTCAGAATTCAAAGTGCCGAAAGGACCCACAGGCATTTCAGGACTAGACAGTATGGGCGACACTCCGTATCCAAGTGGCTTGAAGTCCCAGTAACTTAAGCAGCGTGTGCTGAAAGGAATAGGAACCGGCCCATAGGGCTACTAGAAGCAGCCTGTGAGTGCCACGTCCTCCGTGAACCCCGAGCCCAGCATTCTTCCGGCAGGAGGAAGACCCAAGTTAAGGAGGCAATACAGAGGCCATCAGACCTACCTATGAGCCTGAGAACTAGCATGGAAGACGTCAGGACACCTGACATTTCTACCTGTCCAGTTAAGGACAAGGGTGTGTTACCAGCCTCAGCAAAGTGGATCAGGGGGATTCAAGAGAGCAGTTGGGGGTGGGGGTGAGGCCCAGGAGATGCTTCACCCAGACCCCTTACTCAGGTGCCCACAGTCCCCCTGTAGATGAGGAAGGAGCTGTTACACCTTGATGTTTCTTTTCCTCATCTAGACGTGGACTCCAGGTGATATTACCTGGTGAAATGAAATATTTTGGATATGTCAAGTTAAATAAAATAAGTTATTGAAATTAGGGGTGCCTGGGTGGCTCAGTTGTTAAGCGTCTGCCTTCGGCTCAGGTCATGATCCCAGGGTCCTGGGACCGAGCCCCGCGTCGCGCTCCCTGCTCAGCGGGAAGCCTGCTTCTCCCTCCCCCACTCCCCCTGCTTGTGTTTCCTCCCTCGCTGCCCGCCCCGCCGTGTCTCTCTGTCAAATAAGTAAATAAATAAAATCTTTAAAAAAAATAAGTTATTGAAATCAATTGCTCTTGTTCCTCTACTTACTTTAACGTGGCTACTAGCCAGTCTAAAATGTCATATGTCGTTCACACTGCACTCCGGTCAGGCAGGGCTGGCCTAGACCCTGGACCGAGTGCCTCCTGGCGGGGGGCCCTGAAGCAGAGCTAACTACCTCTCCTTCCACACGCTCTGGAGCCCAGCACTGTCCCACTACTCCAGCAGCACCCCTTCCCTTCTCTTTATTCTCTCTTGCTTAGCCATTCTTGCCCCCCTGCTCTCCTGGTATGGCTCTGGGACGGCAGAGCTAGACACACATGGCTCATTACACGGGCCCAAGATAGGTGAGCTGAAGAGGAATCCAGGGCTCGGGACCAGGGTGGACTCCTCTGACCCGGACCCCGCTGCACTGAGCATGCTGTGCGCCAACCCGGCTCCATGTTTTGTAGGTTCTGTCGGCGGCCACAATTGTCGCCAAGCACACCTCGGCCCTGTGCAATGCGTGCCGCATCGCCTCGTCCAAGACAGCCAACCCAGTGGCCAAGAGGCACTTTGTCCAGTCAGCCAAGGAAGTCGCCAACAGCACTGCCAACCTAGTGAAGACCATCAAGGTAGGTCACGGAACTGAGGTCTTAGTGATCCCTGCATCACCTGTTGCAGAGGGGAAAGAAGTGTGCAGAATTTAAGCTCTGCTCGCCCAAGACTTGTGTCTCCTGAAGCTTAACTCCTGATTGAAGTCAGTGAGGAGCAGTCCTTTTCCAGTGGAGATAATTATCATGAAAAACAACAGCCTTGGCCTCCACTAACCTTCTTAGCTGGGGCGGAGGGATGGGAGGCGGTTGCCAAGTTCTGTACATGAGAAGCTTAGGGGCAGAAATGTGGAAGAGGTCGGCTGCAAGGCGTCTCCTGGCACGGTGTTTGGGGAGCAGACACCTTGTGTTTTACTCAAACGGTCTGCTGCTGTGGGCTGGTTTTGAGCTCATTTGCTACAGGGAATTGCTGGTAGGGGGTCTGCCATCGTTGCTAGATATATCTGGACCTAGAGAGAAGGTAGAGGGGGGAAGGGAATGGGAAGTTGTGGGGAAATCACCTTAAAGAGTCAATTTCACCTATCCTATGATTTCTCTTCTGTTTATAGCTGTTTGAATGTTTGAAATGGAGCATCAGATTTTTAAAATAGAGCACTCCATGTTTATAGCAAGTTCATCTTTGTGTTATAGGCCGTGGACTGGTTGAAGGAGGGGTGGGGGCCGGGTACCCTGTATGAGGAAGGAATTGCAGTGGCAGGCCTGCAGTATTTGTGGCTGGGTGATAAAGCCACAAATCCAGCCTGTCCCAAGTGGGGCCCAAGCAGCAGCGGGGCAGCTGACCTTGCGGGGAAACAGCCACAGCTGGTACAGCAGGCCACAGGCAGGGAGCCCAGAACCCCCTTGCAAGCTTCTGAAGGAGTCTGTCGTGGAAGGCAGGCAACCAGCTCTGTGGAAACCCAGAGAGGAGAAGGCGCACAGCCAGTGGAGGGTTCATGCTTATTTAAGGATTGTCACAGTCCCCGAGGTAGTTGTGTTGCCAGGCCAGGCCTGGAGTAATGGGACTTCTCCTGTCCTCCCCAGAGGACAGGATACCACACACGTCATTTTCCTCGCACTCTGCAGAACCACTTTAATCACGTGGAGAAAGCAGTCCACAGGCTGGGCCAGGCAGAAACAAAGGGGAGAACTCGCAGCCTGGCAGCACTTGGAAGCTGGTGGAGTAGAGCACAGACCGATTAGCCCGGTCAGCAGTTTCTTGCCGTTTCAACAAAGAGCCTTAAGAAAGTAAAGTCTGCCTATTTGAAGACAATAATAAGATAGGTTGGAAATAAATTAAAGCCGGTGAGCAGGTGCCCCTGGGATCCTGGTGGCAGCTCACCTTAATTACCGTCAGAGTTGATAGTATTTGAAATGAATAAAGCTTACATTTTTAACCGTTTGGTTTGTACAAAGCCTGTTCCAAGTCTTTGGTGCATATCACTCATCCCAGTTCACACAACCACCCTGTGTTTGTCACCCCCGTTGTGCACTCAGGACACCAGGCGCTAGCAGGTTAAGTAACTTTCCCAAGGCGACCCAGCCAGTAAGTAAGTGGCAGATGGGAATTCAAACCCAGATCCCAGAGCCCCTGTTCTTCGCAATCCCAGTCCTGCTCTCACCCCAGCATGGTGTTCAAATCCAGACTAACCTAGGAAGAAACACCTTGGTCTGTTGACACCACTTGTGTGCAGATCGGGGGAGGGAGGGCTGAAAGCCGCAACGGAGGGGAGTCACGTCATTGGTGGTTGCTGTATCATTAACTGACTGCAGGTCAAACTTGGCCGTTTTCTGATCGTTGAGAAACAGACTATATTTAGATGGACCAACAGAGGAAGAAAAGGAAGGAAACTGTTCAATAGAAATTCCTGGGAACCTTTCTTTTGTGCCACCTCCTGCTCTAAGTCCTGACCTGTCTCTGTATAAAGCATCTCTGCTAAGATCTCCTCTTCTTTTCAGATGCTCCTCATGGTGTCAAACACTCTTTGCAATTCCTGGCCGCAAATGAGCTCTTGTAATGGCCTGAAAGATAGGCGTGTGCGGGAACATCAGAGGAGGGGTGCAGGGTGATCAGTAGGTGGGGAAGATGAAGGCCTCGGCTCGGTGAGCTCCCTGGGAACCAGCAGCAATGCCCGAGGAACAGAAAGGAACCCATTGCCCCTCGACCGGCTGAAATGGGCTTGGTTTTTCAATTTGCACCAGGTGGCAGGGTTCGCCAGGGACAATGAGCCTTGTTTTTAGTTTACTAATAGGAAAATGGTAATGGGTCCTTCCCCTGTAGCTCACCATCCTATATACTGAATAGATTTCCTGTTTTATTTTTTTTTTATTTTTTATTTTTTTAGATTTCCTGTTTTAAGGAATGGTTAAGAATCCTGTCGTAGAGCAGAGCAAATGAATATTCAATTCCCTCAATGTTTAAGACAGCTGCCCTCGTAGCTGCAGTTTGCTCTAAGTTTTAGGCTTCTAGTGCCTTTTTTTTTTCTTTTAATCATGAGGATGTGCCCAAGCCTCAGTCCCAGGTGCCACACCATTATAGCCACAAAAACAGGAGGGACCCCAGCCAGAGGAACATGGGAGATCAGGGAATAGACCTTCAAGCGGGTTATCCACACCATTAGAATGTGTGCACCCAAGAATCTTAAACCTCTACCGATGGTGTTCTTTAAAATCCCAAAGCTTGGCTCAGCAGGAATAAATAGCTGCACCCTCCTCCCTGGCAGATTGCTCTAAATACCAGCCGCATTAGAAGCACACAGACCCCTACCCATGGTTGCTGTCACCCCCACACAGGGACCCTTGCTTTTCTTTCTTCAGTCAGTTCATTACCTAGTCTCGAATCACATGGGTGGAATAGAATGCTGTTTCACATGTGCACTCACTCAGGTTTGGGTGCCAAATAGAAGTTGTACAACAGCTTTAATTTCTCTGAGAAGTTGAAGGATGGCCTTGCCTCTCACAGCAGAGGTAAAGCTCAGATTTGGGGATTAAGCATACCCATGTGTGAGCAAGATGTGTGTACCAAAGATACCAGATCCAGCGCTCTTTAATTAATTTTGACTTGACTATAAGTATGTCTTCTTGGTCATCCTTAGGTTTGGATTGGTAAAGGAGATTTTTTTCAGAAGAAAAAGAAAGGGGAAAACTTCTTGGGCTTCTCTTATTCCAGTTCTTACTGCCTTTGTCTAAGGTCAGGAGAGAAGGGAGCCAGGGCTCTTGGGTTGTAGTTTGAGGCATAAGCTTGGATAGCATGCCACCTTCTAGGTGTTGGTTTTATCATCTAGAACGTTGGGGATTTAGAACTAAGGTCCCAAATCTTTAAGGTCTTAAGGTCCCTTCCAATCCCCCAAAGTCCGTGGATCTTTGATTCTGGTACCCATATAGAAATTGTTTCTCCTAGACTCCCTTGAGATTGTGCTAAGAGAACATTCAGAGGAGCTAGCCCAGGGGTCAAGAGGATCCTTGTCCTAATGGGTCCCGGGCATTTGGCTAAATAAATTTACCCCTTCATTGTTGCAGCTGCTGTACTAGATAGACATTCTGTGACATGGAATGTCTGCATGAAAACTGTCATGTCTACCTAAAATTTCACCAGTGAGCAGATTGGCATATTCAGTTTACTCGGGTGGCTTAGCCATCCCCAGAGTGGAAACAGCATTCAGAAATGACATAATATCTGTGTAACCCAACCTTTCTGATGCTAAATGCTACCTCTAGCGGAAATAGCGGTTGCTGTAGCTTGGTGGTGTTCCATGTTATTCAAGATCCTGTTCCATGAATAGCAGTGGGCTGCAGGATACATGATGTTAGTGCCCAGGCTCAAAAAATATATATCCTTTCTTCATCTCTTGGCACAGTTCATGAAACTGCACAATTAGAAAACTGTTCCTTGGGATTTACCTCAGCTAATCATCTTTTCATTGTGGATAAGTTTCAAGTAAAGGTTGGTGGCTTGATCAGATGCCTGCCTCCCTAAGAGGCCGAGAAGGTCGTAGAAGGTAGAAAAAGGGGATGGGGAGATAAGAACAGGAGGAATGAGCAGCACAAAGGGGAGGCTTGTCATCTTCCATTGAGCTAGAAGCCACATCATCCCAGCTGGAGGGGGTGTGATTGGCCACTGGTGCAGCTAGGATTTGAGTTCCTTTGACACCGAAGTCCATTCCTGCCATCTGCCTGCTACACTAGTTTGCCCCGTGCTGGGGCCACTCCGGTCAGGCTCCTGCTGAGTAGCACCCGCCCTGCCTCCCCGTGGGTTCCCAGATGGCTCTGAAGCCTGGAGGGGCCTGATTTCAAGGAGTCAATGATATTGATGGTGCAACAAGATTAGAGGAACAAGACATAGTGCAGGTCACAGGCGCTAACTCCACATGTACTGAGCACATGAGTGACAGTTAGAATGGGGGCCGTATGTGTGAGCAAGAAATAGCACGTAGGGCTGCCATTGGGTTGAAAAAATGGCAGAATTGGAGAGGTTAGAAGAGAGGTCAGTGCCTGCAGATGAGCAGAGGCAAGCCATGTGGGTATTAGTGAAGATGGTAAATGAGCCAGGCTCATGGGAATTCCTCTGAAAATATTAGCATGGCGGGATGTATAATTATTGTCCCAAGCTGCCAAAGCTTGATTGGAATGTAGTTGTTATTCAGAAATAGCCTTTAAAGCATATGTGCCTGCCTACTCTTGCCTTCCTGAAAAATAGAAACGCTCTCATCTCAGATCTGGTTTGTTTCAGAATGCTGGGGCCTCTGGTTTTTGGTTCACTAATTGTCTAAATTGGCTTTTATAGATTGCTCATAACAGTTGAATTAAAAGTTTAATTGGTCATTTAACGGAGAAATTTATTATTATTCTACAAATATAACTGCCTTCTCAAATGTAGCCCTTTGCTGGGAGGAAGGGATATTGTCTCCAGGTCACAGGCTGTAGGTTCTAACAGTCTTGTTCTTCAGAAGGTGGGGTCTGGGGTTGGGGGACCTCAAGTCCAAGTGTTAACCCTCTGTTAGGCAGCCTTTCATGAATCACAGGCTGTGTTCCTGGATTCTCCTCATCTGGGCCATTAATCAGCAGTGTGACTGATCACTCAGTGCCACTGTGTTACCTGCTACTATTTTTCTTAAAAAGCTATTGAAGCATAAGATGGATAGACAAAAACACACATTGTATGTATAGAGCTCAGTGAACGTAAGTTGAATACACCTAGGTAACTACAACCAGATCAAGAAATAGAACATGACCAGCCCCCAGAAACCCCCTTTGGGCCCCTTAGTCTTAACCTGCTCTGAAGGGTGACCAGACTGCTAACACCTTAAATTAGTTTCACCTCTTTTTGTACTTGGTATAAATGGAATCCTATAGTAGGTACATTTTTGTGTCTGGCCTCTGTAAATACTATGTTTATGAGATTTGTCCATATTGTTGGGGGTAGTTCTAGTCCATTCCTTCCCGTTGGATTCCACTTTGTTCATTTCAAAATGGCAGACATGGAAGCCCCACCTCCGTTATTCATTCAGGGATATCCAGTAAAAGCTAGAAAAAGTTGAAAGTGCTATGCAGTGTAAAGTATTTTTATAATTTGGGAGGGAAGAGACTTAAAGTGAAAATGGAGGGGAAGAGCCCAAAGGTTATAGTGTGAAAAGTGGGGAAGAAAATGGTTCAGCTGCAAGGTCATATGCGCGGGAAGATGATGGACTTTGAGGTCAGCTGCTCTGTGAGCCACATATTAAACTTTATTTCTTAGGATTGTTAACTGAGTCGCTCTGCTAGGTAGCTTGATCTCTCTGATTTGTTGGGGTTTTTTTTATGAATTCACCAAACATTTTCAGTATCCCATTAAACCACATTCTTCCACTAGGAGATGATTATGGTGGCCGGAAGTGGTTTGTGCATCTCCGTGGGATAATGTCTCCATGTGTTCTCCCATCAGGCCCTGGACGGGGATTTCTCCGAAGACAATCGCAATAAGTGTCGCATTGCCACCGCACCCTTGATCGAAGCTGTGGAGAACCTGACAGCGTTTGCGTCCAACCCTGAGTTTGTCAGCATTCCTGCCCAGATCAGTTCCGAGGTAGGGGGTCTTTGCAGCAAAGGTAATATTGGGGTCTTTGGCTAGTCTGTGTGGCACCAAACGAGCATGAACAGTTAAGAATTCCGAAAGCTCGGGCGCCTGGGTGGCTCAGTCGGTTAAGCGACTGCCTTCGGCTCAGGTCATGATCCTGGAGTCCCGGGATCGAGTCCCGCATTGGGCTCCCTGCTCAGCGGGGAGTCTGTTTCTCCTTCTGACCCTCTTCCCTCTCATGCTCTCTCTCATTCTCTCTCTCTCAAATAAATAAATAAAGTCTTTAAAAAAAAAAAGAATTCCGAAAGCTCTGTCTTGTAGGGCATTGTTGTTGATGATGATGATATCTCCACAGAGTTCATGAAACTCAAGGTATATGCATCTCTTAGGTGGTAATGCCTTAGCTTTATGTGTTAAGAACAAGCTCTGTGCCTGTTTGGGGCTGATTCTTTCTTGGCATGTGCCATATTCGAAAATGGTATCTAAGAGTGAACGTGGACCCAAGTGCTTGCTCTCCAGGCTCTGTGTGAATCAGCCTCCATGGTTTCCTCACCTCTGTGTCTCTTTCCGAAGAACACAGGTAGAGACTTGGTAAAGAACAGGGCCTTCCAGAGCCCCGCCTCATTCATTTAATCTGTGTACCCTGCCCTTTCCCCTTCTGCTGTCTGCTTCCAGGGCTCCCAGGCACAGGAACCGATCCTCGTCTCAGCCAAGACCATGCTGGAGAGTTCGTCATACCTCATTCGCACTGCACGCTCACTGGCCATCAACCCCAAAGACCCGCCCACCTGGTCTGTGCTAGCTGGACACTCCCACACCGTGTCTGACTCTATCAAGAGTCTCATCACATCTATCAGGTTAGTTTCTCCTCCAGAAATTGCTAGGGACCTGCATCTGAACAGGGCAGAAGGAGGATAAGCCCAAGCCAACAGGACTTCGATCTAATAGCAACGGAGCTCATCGTTATCATCGTCTTTTTGTTTGGCTCTTTGGGACCAGTGGTAGTGCTGGGCACAACAGTAACTAACCTAAACACTCTATGTCAGAAACTGTTCTGAACACTTTACCTGTGTTACCATATTTCTTCATCACAACAACCTTGTGAAGTAAACGCTGCCATGGGTCACCATTTTTTACTGATGAGAGAATGAATTCAGGCAGAAAGGACTTAGGGAGTATTCTCATGGTCATCCCCAGACCTGATGGCCCTAGTCCCAGTCCTAACCATTGTGCTACATTGTCTATATCTAGGAGCTTAGGCAGAGAACACCACTGTATACTGAGCAGGGTTTGAGGTTACTTTATTTTGCTAATAAGACAAGAAGAATATTCTAGATCCCACAGTGACTCCGGACATCTCTGAACTCCTTCGCGATAGTATGAACCTGAAAAATCCCCAGAATTGGTATAACATCTCTGAAGTTGACGAAAGTTTATACCCCACAGCATGGAACACATCCTTTTCCTTAGCTGTACTCTGCCTTTTGATCGCTTTTGAGATTCAGCACCACTGTTCTCTTACCCAATGCCTTACAAAGAAAAATCCACTAAATATTTTAACTCCTACCATAGGACTTTGTGAATTGTATGCAATGCAGAGAGGACAGTATATTTGCACTGGAAATAGCACTGGTCTTTAAAAAAAATAATAATAAGGGTCGTATGCTTAAGCCAGTGCCGTCTAAATAGTTTGATTAGCAGGTGCCTATCATCAGCCTGAAATGAGGAACGGCATCATATCCTTCCCACTGGAAATAAATAAATACAAGTGTTATATGAAGAAATGCATGGGCTCTGCAGAGAGGCATTCCCAAGCAAGGGTCAGAGAGTCCCTCCTTCAATGCAGCAATCGAACCCAGTAGAAAGTAGATAGGGGTTCCCAGCCCACCAGTGCTGCGACAAGTTGTGGGACTTGAACCCTGAGGAATCTATTTGACCTGCCCTGTTCCTTCCAGGGACAAGGCACCTGGACAGAGAGAGTGTGACTACTCGATCGATGGTATCAACCGATGCATCCGGGACATTGAGCAGGCCTCCCTGGCGGCTGTCAGCCAGAGCCTGGCCACAAGGGATGACATCTCTGTGGAGGTAGGCCGGGGCTCTGTGGCCAGATCAGAGGTCTCTGGAAGAGCCAAACAATCTCAGCATCAGGCTTCAGGGGGTGGGGAATGGGACCAAATACTTCTTTGGTGCTAGCTGTTGTCAGTGAAGCGCCTCCTCTTGGAACCCACCTGGGAAATTTTTCGAGGGACTAAGGCAAATGCTGAGTAGAGAATGAGGGTTTGGTGAAGGAACACGTGTGCTGCTGGAGTGGAAATGACAGTTGGGGGAAAATAAAAATGTCCGATGAGAGTGCGTCAGTAAGGTGGGGTTACCATATTCAGTTTCACACATCAGTAGAGAAGGCCAAGGCGTGGAAATGTTGGATGTTTCCTTGTCACGTTTTATCAATGCATTTTTTGACCAATGGGCGTATTTAGCATTAAACTCTACACATTTGGTCCATTCAGAGATAAAGGATTCTGTCCTAAGTTACCCAATATCCAGTGTTGGGAACTGTTTGCATTATATTTTTAATTCAGAGCCACAGCCTTTTTTTGCCAATTTTTTCTATTAACCTGTCCAAAGGCCTTTGATTCATACTTCCTTCTCTCTGTCAAAAGTGCCTGACACTCAGGAGCTGCTTAATAAATATGGATGGTCTGTTTACTGACATGTTCCTTACTGCCCCTGAGTTCATCAACAGTGAACTTAGGCCCGCTGTCTCTAAGCAGTGGGCCCAGAGTTGGTCTTGCTCATTTTTATTAATAGAGCTGTCGATTTTACTCCAGCTCTGCCCTCCTCCCCCACTGTCAAGAAAAGAAAGAAGAAATAGTCTCATCCTATGCAGAATGTTACAATTATTGTCAACCTTTTACTAAAGGAAGGACCTGCATACAGAACAGTGTGCATGTCATAAGTACACAGCTTGATGAATTATCATCAACTGAGCACAGCCTTTAGTTAGTACCCAGGTCAAGAAACAAAGATGACCAGCACCCCGGAACCTCCCTCTCAGGCCCCCATCCTTTCACCACCCCTCCCAAAGCATATCCTCTCTCTTCCCTTCCTCCCTAGGAAGAAAATCCCTCCCTTTGAACTATGTGGACTCCCTGCTTACACCACATTTATTTTAATAAGCCATCTGTAATAAGATAACATTGCTGAAATATTCTTGCATTTTTAGGTGTTTTTTTGTTTTGTTTTGTTTTATTTGAGAGAGAGAGCATGAGCGGGAGGAGGAGCAGAGGGAGAGGGAGAAGCAGATTAACCAATGAGCAGGGAGTCCGATGTGGGACTGGATCCCAGGACTCCAGGATCATGACCTGAGCCAAAGGCAGACACTTAACTGACCAAGCCACCCAGGCACCCCTATTCTTACATTCTTGACTATAATCACATGAGCAGAAAGATGATAGTGAACTAAATAAGATCCTTGGAAGTTTAGATGTTTCTCTCCACCTTCATCCAACTTTCTATCTCTGTCTTTCTTTTTCCTTTGTATCCCCAGGACTTTGTTTTCCATTTGGCGTGTTAGGTTGCTCTTCTCAATAACTAACCTCTGCCCAGAGCCCCCAGCCTGTATGTAGTATTATTCAAAGGGAAAGCAGCACGGGCCAGAGTCTCATTTCTGACAAGCAGAGCATTGTCACCTTGTCAGAAATTACCCCGTTCCATGCTGGCATGTGAGGACCTAAAATGTCCAGTGCTGTGATCTATTAATCCTGAATCCATCAAGCAAATTTCCTAGGAAGAGTCCGACAAAGGATCTGATCTGTCCTGCTACCAGCTACTAATGTCCACTTGAAATTCCCCATCTCCCTCATACTCCAGCATCATCCAGATACTTGGCCTCATCTCTTCACGGCACCAGTTCAGTTCTTCTTTCAAACCTGACAAGAAATACCTTGGGGGTGCAATTTTTAATATTTGCATTCACATCACCAAATACAATGTACTTAGAGCCTGAGCTGAGCCCAGTGGGTAACTCACCTGCCATTTTCACAGTGTGCTGTCTGGGAGATGGTCCTGCTTTCTGAGAGCTGATCTCATTTTCCTATCACCCTTTCCTCCCCTCCTCTCCTCCCTAAAGGGGTTCTTAGTTCTGAGGACACAGCCACCTGGACATTCCCCCAGACCTCACATTAGCTCTCCCCATTCAAACAAAGTTGTCTTCTCTTCTTGGAAGGGAAATGTTCCTTATTTCCAGTAGTTATGCTGCATAACTCAAAGTAAGGATACCAGCAGCATCACTTAACACTGTGGTTGGTGTGAGTGAGGAGCCAGTAAGAAAAGTATTCTTTGGACTCGCCTTGTGTCACTCACTGGAAGTGTGGGGGCTCTAGCCCAGGGGAGCTGAGGATCCCTGGGAAGGGCGGGGTGGAGTGGTAGCAGGATGGCTCACCCCAGAGAGGTATTATCCATTATAGATACAGTGGATATTTTGATACCCATTTCTCATCGCCTCCCTTGTCTTTTGCATGGGCCTTTTTATTTTTAAATCAGTGTGGCTACGTGGTGAATTGCCGTAGGGTGAATTTGACAGCTCTCTGTCCTTATCAGGCCCTGCAGGAGCAGCTAACTTCAGTGGTCCAGGAAATTGGGCACCTTATCGATCCCATTGCCACAGCGGCGCGGGGAGAAGCAGCTCAGCTGGGACATAAGGTAATGTGCCCCAAGAGGATCCTGCTGAGGGTGTGCGTGAGTGATGGGGGGGGTGCACACAAGATTGATCACTGACCACTTCAGGATCTATTTTCACCTAGAGTTCAAACAGAAACTGGAGTGACACCTTTCTGGCTATTGCCCGACTTCCCAGCCAACAAGACATTTACAGTCATCTGTTGCTCTTGACCTTCGCTGGATGAGCCAGAGAAGAACGTTGACATTGCTAGTCTGCTGTCTGCCATCTTTTGTCCCTGGCTGACTGGCCTCATTCTCGCATCTTTAGGGATACATTGTTCTTCCATGGCTTCTAATAGTGCCTGTTCTCACACATGAAGGAGCAGAGCAAGCTTGCACACTTCACTCTGGACAACCAGGCCTCCCTAGCCCACTCCAGAGGAGCCCTTCAACTGAGAGCTCATACCCGCATTGTATAAGTACTGACTAATGTTTTGCCTGTTTGGGGTTCATTTTGCAAATCTTTCAAGGGTAGTTGCCTTGTCTGGCAGCCTGTGCCTCAGCATAGAGAGGGCAAAAATCGGGTTTTTAACAGCCTCCAGGGTTTCCTAACATTTATCAGTGCAGACGTCAGTATTGATGTGCGTATCCAGGAAGTCCAGTAGCCAGAATCTTTCCAGCAGGTATCAATTTTAGAAAATCAGTGTTCTTGCTTTTTCACATTGTGGAACAGCTGAGGGGCCTACTAAGCTTCCTACTGGTTCTAAGGTGAGGCTTTTGAGATTTAAAATGACCAGTGTCTCTATATGCTTCCAAGTGTGGCAAATTTCATTTCTCAGCTGAGTTCCTTTATAGTGAGAAGAGGGCTTATCCACCTGTGTGAGGAGGTTTGGGGGTGGGGGGGGCTGGGGCCAGAGCGCTGCCCACATGCCTGCCGCAGGGAACTGAGTCTAGCAGAGGAGCCAGACTTCATTTCAGCGGTTACTTTTGATTCCAGTAAGAATTCTGTAAGAAAATATATCTAGATTTCTTGGGCAACAATCCTTGTCCCTGCCCATATGGTATTAGTATGGAAGATTAATTCCTATGTCGATGGGCAGCATCAAAAGAAAAATAATATATTGGTGTTGTTTGAGTGACAAATTTACCCTTGGCCCTTTGGCTAAACCCGTCTCACTTTCTAAAGGAGCGTTCTGGACGAAGGAGGGCTCTGGCCCTCTATCCAGGAGAGTCCCGGGCTGAGAGTTGATCCCTTCCTGGTTCCCATTCTTCATTACGACACTCAGGTAGGGTCCCAGATCAGCTTCAGATCACTTGGGAGTGATACATGCAAATTCTCAGACCACATATATTAGTTTCCTAGAGCTGCTATGACAAATTACTACAAACTGGGTGGCTTAAACCAAAAGAAACCTAATCTCTCACAGAAGTCTAAAATCAAGGTGTCGGCAGGGCCAGACTCTTTCTGGAGGCTCTATGGGAGAATCCGTTCTTTGCTTTTCTAGCTTCTGGTGGCCCTGAGTGTTCTTTCACTATTATATCATGCCAGTCTCTGCCTCTGTGGTCACGTTGTCTCCTCCTCTTCTGTTTGTCTTCTCCTCCTCTGTCTCTTACTAGAATACTTCTTAACAGATTTAGGACGCACCCAAGTAATCCAAGGTGATCATTTGGAGAACCTAAATACATCTGCAAAGACCTTTCTTTCCCAGTAAGATCATATTCACAGGTTCCAGGGATTTGGGCACAGACATACCTTTTTGGGGGCCCCTACTCAACCCTTTCTGCCACCTTAGGCCTAGTACATGTACCAAGTACTCAAAATTCTGTCTTATTTTAACTTCTGTGCTAACCCATGTAAGGATATTTCCTATTCTGTCATGTCTCAAAAACAGAAGTTGTTATAGTCTTTGCTAAGCTCCCTAAGTACAGGAAAAAGCACATCCTTTCAAAAACTTTTGCCCACAATCCATGAAGAATAATGACACCTAGCATTTACTGAGTGCCTACTACATGGCAGGCATTGTGCTAAGTACTTGTATGTATGCTCATTTAATCCTTCTAACAATCTGAAGGAGCTTAGTGCTATTATTTCTCCCCATTTTATGGAGAAGGAAACTGAAGTTTGGTAATAGGAAGCTGATTGCCTAAGAGTTCTAATTAAGGAAATGACACACAGGATCAAACCCAGTGGCTCTGACGCTGGAGCTTTCTCTCTCCCTCACCAACCGTAATGCCTCCATGAGGGCACCAGCTTAGTTGTGTTTAATTATTCTCAGCACACAGCAGCCCTTGACATTTTACAGTTGCATTGGTGAAATGTACTTTTAAAATTAAAAAGAAATTAATCTAGAAGGGCACCTAGGTGGCTCAGTCGGTTAAGCATCTGACTCTTGATTTCGGCTCAGTTCATGATCTCAGGATCATGAGATCGAGCCCCACCTCGGGCACCATGCTCAGCACAGAGTCTGCTTGAGCTTCTCTCTCTCCCCCTTCCCCTCCACTTGTGTGCACTCTCTCTAAATAGTTAATTAATTAAATCTTTGGGGGAAAAAATGAATCTAGAAAACATGTAAGATTCTAATGCATTAAACGTCCTAACTCCTTTAAAACATACAGGACCCATCATGAGCCCTGACCCCTGATGACCCATCACTGCACTGTGGTTCCCTTTGGTGGAGACACTAGGGCCCTTCCAGGGGAAGAGGATGAAATCCAAGGGAGATGTGTAGGGCTGATACCTGGAGTTGTGCAGGCTGGGTCTTACACGAACGTGTTTGGCCAAAGCGGAGACTGGGGCCAAAATCCAGCCAAGTCATGTGCTTTGGCATCAGTCGCGTCTGCCCCAAGGATAGGGAGCCCCTTTAAAATTCATCCAAAACACCATAAAGGCCAGCAATAGCCCTGTTCAAGTGCTTTGAAACCATCTGTAAGAGAACTATAATCAAGGATAAAAGAGTAAATGTACGTTGATTGCTGGCTCATGGTCTGTCTCACTGTTAGCTCTAATGAACTTTCATATTTTGGACTCCCACCTTGTCCCAACCACCACCAGCCCCACAAACCCCTGCCCCCTGCTTCGTTTCTGATCCAGTGACCGCACCACTCATGCCAAGTAGCCTTCCTGCCCACGGCCCCATCACGTTCATTCTTCGTCCACATCATGGGAAGAAGCATTAAGGGAAATTGCTGGCTAAAGCCTTGAACTTAAAGACACTTGATGGAAATAATTTAGCAAGTAGTAATTGGCACACACAATGAGGAGCAGAACGGAAAAGCGTGATCAGGGTCATTGTGTTTTATCTGAGTGGGAATGGATGGTGGTGTCTGAAGCAAGTACAGCGAATGTTAAAAGCTGACATTCTGGATGCTGGGTAGATGCGCATTACTGTATTAACGCTCGGACTTTAAATACTTCAGAGAGCCGCAAACAAATACCAAACAATAAAGTTCTAAAATCCAATACTACAGCCGTGGCAGAGCTGGACTGACAATGAGAAGTAGCAGGCAGTGCAGTGGAAGGTGGGAGCCTGGACTGTGGACGAGGACACCTGCTTCCTGTCACAGCTCCACATCGTGGCTGCTTGGGGTTGAAAGAGTTACTTCACCCACCTAAGCCTCGGTTTCTTCATTTGTGTGTACCTCGTAGAAATGCTGTGGGGATTAGATGAAGCATGGTCAGCCTGTAGCAGAAAGCCTGGCATGTGGGATGTGCCCAAGAAATGTCTGTGACACGTGACCCCGCCCAGCTGGTGGGCGCCCCGAGCACGGAGGCCTCAGCGAGAACCGTGCTTCACCACCTGGCTTTTCTCTTCTCCCGGTCTGGACTAATCAGGGACAGAACATTGGGACCAATGTGAAATCACGTTCGATTTTAATGCAAACCCACGTTAGGTCGACATGCTCAGGGCAGAGGGCAGTTGAGTTGGCTTCTTGAAAGCCTTTGCTGTCAGGCTGCTTCTCTCAACGGCCCTGCTCCCCTGCCCCTCCCCATCCCCCTTCCTACGCGTTAAGATGCTCAGCTCTGGTTCTTTCAAAAGCTTTGCTGTTGACAAAGTTAAAATCTGTAAAATTCTCACACCCAACTCCAGATCACAGAACATATTTCTTAACACTTCTGCCATGATGAGAGACAGGACAGAGAGCTTGCCAGAGGAGGTAAAATCCAAGCGAGAGTTCGTTAACGAGCAAGTACTTTTAAAAGTAAAATTGAGTGATGTAAGTTCTCAGGGTGTCATGTATAATATGATGACTCTAACTCGTGATCTGGATTTAATAATAGGAAGAAACAAAAGTAGATTTCAGCAGGTCTGCCTCTCGCTGTGCATCATCCCATCCCTGTCCCAGTCCCATCCCCACTAGTGGGGCCCCTAAAGGAGATACGTGGATTTACATGATGCATCTGTGGCTTTTTTTCTTGAAAGGTGACACAGCTAGCAAGCTACTTTGAGCCCCTGATCTTAGCTGCAGTCGGTGTCGCCTCCAAGATTCTGGACCATCAGCAGCAGATGACAGTGCTGGACCAGACCAAGACGCTCGCAGAATCTGCCCTGCAGATGTTGTACGCAGCCAAAGAAGGTGGAGGAAACCCCAAGGTACAGTTTGGGATCCCGGGGACTCACCTAGGGCAGCTGAGAAGCCATCAAGTATTCTTCAATATTGAGTCCCTCCAAGGAAAATTTCTCCAGTTCTTGGTCGATAGTATGTGCCTTCCCACTCAGAGGTGGGCAAGAATCTTCAATTGGCCTTCACAGGGACCTTTAAGGGGAACATCAAGAAATATACATAATTAAGCCTTTTTGTTAAGTTATGTTTTCCGTGTCAGAATATGTAGGCAAGCATCCTTGGGAAAGGAAAACATTGTGTGGTTATTGCAGGAATAAAAATTAATACCTGCCAGGCACCTGCTCAGTGTTGACACCCAGCTGTGCAAAGCAAAGCTCAGTTGTTTTCCAATGAATATCATTTCCATTCCTGACACTCAGGTTCAGATCAGAACGTGGGGCAAGGTCACCCATGGCATGTGTTTCTATTGTCTTGGATCAGCAGTTGCATATGAAAATCTCCCTTACTGGTTTGCAGGGGGAACATTTCCTCAGCTCGATGTGTCTGTCACCCAGCTCCTTGAAGTGGCCAAAAATGGTGACGGCAGGCCATCTCTCCTCTCAGGGGTGATATTGTGTCCGAGTGATTGTTTTACTTGTGAAACCATCTTATAAGTTCCCCCGGGGTTCTGGTACCTTGAGAGGAGGTCGGAGGCTCCTCCTGCTATTTGTACCTTCTGGCAGGTGCCTCCACATAGTCAGTCTGAATTTCCTGGGTCCTCACTTAAGCAGACTACACTGTGGGAACACAGGCTGGAACAATTTGTGTGGGATACTTGCCTACAAGCTATAGGAATCCCCATTATGTACGTATTCTTCTTAGTGTGTTTTGTCACAGCTCTGAGGTCTTCACATCGATAACTTGGTATAGCAGGGAAGACTCTGGAGTAAGAGTGAGAATCACAAAATAGTAACCTTAGGGCTCACAGTTGCTGAGTGCTGGTTCTATGTCACCTCTTATACCTTATATCCTCTTAATATTTAATCTTCATAAAAATCCCATGGTATAAGAAGGTTCCCATTGTACAGATGTGGGAACTGAGACTGCTTAGGTAAGTCATCCCACATCACAGGAGAGGTGGATGTCGAGTCAGGACTGAGCCTACCCCCTCTGGAAACACAGGCCGACTGCCCAAAGCAAGGGCCGGAGAGAGGTTGAGCAAAGTTGCAAGCAAGAGCCACATGTGGCTAGTCGGTCTCAGAAAAAGAAATTATTTGGCACATAAGGGTGGCTCGAGGCATGCTGGCAAGGAGGAACAGCATATGCAAAGGTGTGCGTAGGGTTATGAAAGGATTGAGGTATCTTTGGAGAATAGCGTGCAGTCTGATGTCCATGGAACATACAGAGAGTGGGGACGACCAGGGGGGAGGATAGACTGGGCTGTGTTATGACAGCCCTCCTCTCCCACACTCTAAGGCGTTTGGGCTTTTTTGTAAGCAGTGGGGACTTACAACCCATCCAGAGTTGAGAAACACCGCTCTGGTAGCAGCGTGGATAATGTCTTAGACTTGGGTTTTCTGAGTTCAGTTTTTCCAATCATGTATCTAGCAACTATTAAGAGCCTAATTCTTGGGCTGCTAAAAATAATGAGAGCCAGCCAGCGCCCTCAAGTTGTTCTCAGTCTTCTGGAAAGAAAAAAGGCTTGTTGCTGAAATGGTGAGGTTGAGCAAGAAGAACAAGAATGCCCTTCTGACTAATCACTGAGTGATAGGTGCCCCAAGCTGGCTCAGCCCCCTTTGCACCTGCCACAGTGGCGAGGTGGGGAAGCAGAGTGGGACTCGCTTCCAGACCCAGCTCTGGGCTGTCTTTTCTCCATGGCTGAGTGGCACCTTGCTCCACCCCGACCCGAGAGGATTCATTCCCAGCAGAATAATTCCAATTAGGCGTTTTCTGGGTTTTTAAGGTATTAGCGCGTCTGCTTCGGCTGCAAATTCAGAGCTCCTGGCAGAATTCTGTTTTATACCAAGAAACTCAGGGTCAGGAGCATGTGTAGTCAGCACTGTAAGCTTTACAGGACATCCTGTGCTTGGGAATGGTGGCTGGACATGAGAGTGGGACAGTTTTCAGTGACTGAGCTGAAGCATTGGTGACAGGCTGAGACATGATGAGTGAAGGCAGGACAGGTACATGTGTCTCTCCCCTCCCTGGCATCCTGCGTTCAGCCTGTGCATTGTCTGCAGACCCTGACAAGCTCATCACAAAGGATGCCTAGGACACTACAAGCTGGGTTTTAGGTCCTTTCTTAAGAGGCTTAGTGTACAGATTTAATCACCTTGGGTGCTATTCTTTGGGCAAATATTTCCTAGGTGTTACTTGCTAGGTCTTAGATGATGTGTGTATGTATGTGTTAGATGTTGTGTGTCACTGTTTGCCGAGGAAATGCAGTTAAATGATCATCAGTGTTTCTGATGGAAAAGAGGATAAGCTTTGGAGTCCAATATAATTGGATTCAAATCCCAGTTCTGCCTCTTGCTAGCAAATTACTTCATTTCTTTGCTTCCTCATCTAAACAGTGGGGTTAATAATGAATACCTCTCAGGGGTCATTATAGAGATGGACTGAGATAATGTGCCTAACACAGTAGGTATTAAAAAAAGAAAAGAAAAGAAAGTGACAGCCCCAGAGCCTGGTGTTAATGAGTCCTACGATCACGAGGCATTTGCTGCATAGCCTCACCCTCGCCCCACTGAGCCCCCTTCCACACTCATCTCTATCCCACCCAGCTCCCTCCTACATCCTCCTTGAAGGGCCCCTCCTGCTTCTCCGGCAGGAGATACCCAGCCCTGTGCACTGCTGGGCAGTTCTAATTATTAGTTGGTTTTTACCCTTCTGCTGACATTGACTTGTGTCCCCCAACCCCCTGTGGCCTTCTCCCATTTTCCAGATTCCTGTGATGTCTATGCTGGGCTTTGTAGCTGAAGCGCTATAATACAGAAATAAGGCTCCCTTGGAAGTAGACTTCAGACACGTTTCCAAAAAAGAACCGAGTCTGATTTTTCTCCCGTGTTGTGCTGTGAGGAGCAGTAACAAGGAGCCCCTCCAGAATCTAAAATAATGACCTCATTGTTGAGCCTTCTGAGTCCACTTCCCAGATTGCTGGTGGGCTTTTAAGCATGCCTTAATTGAGCGCCTACTGTGTCTTTGGGTGTCTGAAACTTGTGTGCCCAGGTGGCCGGCGTGTGTCATTTGGATGTGGCTGTGTGGTAGGGATGAGGTTTGCCATTGGAGTTGGAGGAAGCGGCCCTGGGAGAGGCTCGGCGTAATTGGAGGAGGCTTCACAGACTCTCAGCTGACCCGTTAAGGGTCTGTGGCTTAAATATGTGGAACGAAGGGGAGCAGGCCTAGAGAACTCCTCGCGAGAGCAGATGGGAAGGTAATTGTTTCTGGGACAGCCAAGAGCGAGGATGTGTTTTTGTAGGTTTGGATGCCCCGGTGTGGAGAAAGTGTCCTTTACATTTTCTAGGGAGTTCAGAGAGCAGTCTTGTGATTTACTGCTGTTGCCCCCACAACCTGCCTCTTGGACCTTCCTCAGCCCATATGGGATAGCAGCGCTCACTTCTGCCCACAAACGTGCACTCGGCTTGAATATGAGCGTAAGACAGAATTGTTGACGTTTTTGAGCTACCGGTGATCATCTTATTTGAAGTGAGATTTAGAGAAACACACACCTTCCAATTTTACCATTTTCATAAATACTTGTATGAGGTGCTCTCTCAAGAGGGTAATGTGCAGGAAATACCACTTTTCAGACTTCCATCATCAAAAGCAAGCAATCTGCACATTTTGTGTTTTACCTTCTCTGTACCGTGAAATCAGCCATCAACCGAAATTACCAGTTTCCTCCATCACATCCCTAAGAGAGCATGCTGTGTGTCCTGACACACTCAAGACAACCATCCGTGATCGGACCAATGCACAGCTTGTCAGAGGTCGTATGGAAGACCTCTTCTGGATTCCCGTGGCTTTTCCATTCCACAGGCGGAGCCACACCGCAGCCTCCTCTTAGAATTCTTCCCTTTCAGTTAGCCAGTCAAAAGAGTTACCATTTACCTTCCCTCCCTGGCCTCCTTACCTTCTCATCCACCAAAGGGAAGGTGCGATTTCTTGGGTATCGGAAGGGTCGTCTCCCTGTGAGGTGCGTTAGGGCAGCCGTGGCCACTGTGTGGGGGCCCCCTGGTGCCTGGAGCAGCTCGAGTCTGACGCTGACTACCTGGTGTCAGGTCAGATTTCCCAGGTTAAGGGCATTACCCTCAGTTCAGGCACCAGCCGTAAGCTCCAAGGCTCCCAGTCCATCCTCACTCTGACCAGGTGGTTCCAAGTTCAGGGGGTTCTCTCTACCCCTTCATCTTCAATAATTTGCTGGAATGACTCACAGGACTTGGGAAATTGCTCTACTTACTATTACTGTTTTATTATAAAGGCTACAAACCAGCCAAAAGAAGAGACACAGAAGGTGAGGTTTGGGGGCATCCTAAACATGTCCCAAAGATGTGTCACCCTCTCACCTTAGTAGGTGAGACCTTAGTGCATCACCAACCAGGGAAGCTCACTCCAGCTTTGCTGCCCAGAGTTTTATTGGGATTTCGTTATGTAGGCTGGATTGATTGAATCTAGTCATATGATCAATAATCCAGTCTGCAGCCCCCTCACATCCCCCGAGGTCAGGCTGATATTATGTTGCTCAAAGCCACAACCCTCTAATCACATGGTTGGTCTCTCCAGCATGGCCAGCCCCCACCCTGAAACTGCCTACAGGCCACCATGAGTCGCCTTCTTAGCCTAAACTAATGTGTGGTCCAGGGAGCCCCCATGAAGCACAGAGGCAGTCCAGTATCACTTGGGAAATGGTAAGCACTTGAAGGCTCCCTCCTCAGAATCTAGAACAAAAATCAGCCAAATGTTTTACCATTTCACACCCGGGTGAGGTTCCGGGGTTGGGCTCATCTGGCGGCAAGTGCTGAATGAGGGGGTCCCGGCCAACTTTGGGCATGGTAGCAAGTCCTGAGGCCCCTTGCCTTTCCATATGGCACTTGGGTGCCGTCACCTTGTTTAAAAGCACCATGTTGGAGGGGAAAGGCTGAAATTGGATGGCATATTCCCTAGATTAAGGTTTGTTTTTCCAGTAAACGCTGAAAAATTTGACCTGATCTGACCATCTGCTCAGTTTCCCTTTGACCAGCGGCATCATTTCAGCAGATGGCCAGCCAGTCGGTGGCCTTGGTCGGCCACCAGATCCATAAGTTTTCGTGCTTAAGCTCCCATTTTCAGATGGCGACTGTCAGAGGGGTCCCTGGCAGGGACGATGTCCAGCTCTCGCCTTCCGGGGGGCTGGGAGGACGAACGGGATATGCACAGCAGTGCTGAGCACAATGCCTGCCACAGAGGAGCCCCTCAGGAGTGGCGGCAGCTGGTGGCTCTTCCTGCTGTTCTGGGCCTTGATACTTGATATTGCTTCCGGTTCCCTGCCTGTCTCCTGGGATAAAGCATTGTCTGTCAGATGCTCAAATACCTGACCCAGGATACAAGAACATAGATTTTGTAGCTGTCTGGGCCCACAGGCTGGCTCTTGCCCTGTATAGAGTACACACTAGCCCTTGGCACCTTGCCCGCATCCACCTGAATGCCGTTGTATATTCTTGGGCCAGTCAGAAGAGCCGGGGCAGGTCATTGCAGCAAGCGCGAGCCCAGTGGACGGCTCGAGGCAGGGAGGGAGGGAGGCCCAGGTCCTGCTCTGACTCTCCACGAGCCCTGTCTCGGCCCTTAGCTCTGCCATCCATGCCTGGTTGGCAGCACAGAAACAGATTGTTCCATTTATTTCTAAACAAGCCTCTCTGGAGGAGAAATTTGCACCAACAGCCTGTGAAGGGTATCCTTGTAAAAAAGGAAAAATACCTGTGAAAGTAAAAATGAGCATCTCACCCTTTACATGAGCCCCCCCTAGCGACTTGATCCAACCGTTCATTTGCTGCAAACCCTGTGCTTCTAGAGGGAAGCAGAGCCAACTGTTGGCAAGGAGCACGCAGTCTTATTGGGGAGGGGGCAGGGTTGAGGAGGAGGTAATAGGAGGAGGCGGGAGCTGTATGCCAGGCACCGTGCCAGGCACTTCCCATACAGTGCACTTGTCAGCTAATTTTCACAGTCCACATCCTTTCTGCCTCTGGACCTTTGTACAGCCCGTGCCCTCTGCCCGGCACATTCTCCCTTTTCTCCCCTCCTCACCCCATCAACTCTGCTGGACACTGATCTCAACTTCAGCCCAGACACCTCCTCTGAGAAGTCCTCTCTGACCCCAAGGCTGGCTTCGGAGCCCTTCTTAGGGGCTGTCGCAGTTAGCTGTTGCTGCAAATAAGCCATCCTAAAACTTAGTGACTTAAAACAGCACCATCTGAGAATGATCTCTGGTGGGTCTGCAGATCACTGAGTTCAGCGAGGTGGTTCTCACTCAGAGTCCCTCCTGCCACTGCAGCCAGGTGGTGGCTGGGACTTGAGGGACCTGAGGGTCAGTCGCTCCCAGGTCTGGTGCTTGAGCTGCAATCAGAGATGTTCAGGGGCTGGGGCTCCGTGGGCAGCCCTTTGTACCTCTTTGTGGTCTCACTGTGCAGTCTGCCCAGCACAAAGCCTCAAGACAGCCAGCCTCCTTACACAGAGGCCAAGGACCACAGGCACATGTCCTGAGAGAGAGCCGAGCAGAAGCCGTATCATGTTCCAGTATTGAGCCTTACTTTCCCCATATCGTTGTCTCTGAGGCCTTCACCTCTGGATGACTCTCTGACTCCAGAGTTGCTTCTCAGGGCTGCAGGGATCCAAAGGAAAGCCAATGAGAGCATGAGGACAGAGGCATCCAAGGAGGGCTGCTGGAGGAGGTGGTATTTAGGCTGGGCCTTGAAAGAGGGCTAGGATTTGCATGGGGCAAAGGGAGGAGGCAACACAATAGAACCAGCTGCTGCCAGCCAAGGGGGAGAGGGTAGAGCTGGGAGGAGGCTGCGGGGTGGGGAGTCAGCCAGGACTGTGCCAGGGAAGGGGTGGAGGAAAGAAGTCCGGAGAGCGAGTCCCCATCCGAGGTGTGAAAAGAGTCAAGGGATCTTTGTTCCTCAGGGCTATTTGTCTCTCCTAACTTCTAAGTTAATTTAATTTTTTTTTAAGATTTTATTTATTTGAGAGAGAGAGAGCACAAGCAGGGGGAGTGGGAGAGGGAGAAGCAGACTCCCCGCTGAGCAGGGAGCTGGATGCAGGGCTCAATCCCGGGACCCTGGAATCATGACCTGAGCCGAAGGCAGACGCTCAACCGACTGAGCCACCCAGGTGCCCTTAGACTGCTCTTATTATAAATATATGGTGCATGTATCCACATCATCTCATTAGAATTATGCATAGCGTTACTACAGTGATTCCCACTGTGCTGAGGAAGCCATGCCCAGGACCGCTTAGCTAGTAAGAGGTGGATCCAGAGCTAGAACCCAGTTTTTCTGATGGTGGGATCTTGGCTCCTTCTGCATCTTGCTACCATTGGAGGTGTTTTTTCAAGGAGCCTGGCACTACCATTGTTTCATCTGTCCATTCATTCATTTACCCGGCGCCTCCTCCGTGCTTGATAGGCTTGTGAAGCTCTAGCAAGTGTTGGAGCATCTCCGAATTACAGTCAGAGGGAATGTGTGAGCGCTCGAGACTTTGCCTGCAGAACATCTGTCCCTGGAGAACTTTGCTCCCTCGTCCCTCCAACCTCAGGGCAGTGTAATCTGTGACATAAATCCAAAGGCTGTTCATCTTTCTGCAGATGTATTTCTCCTCTATGTCACTACATTTCCATAATCCAACCTTCTTTGCAGGAAGGGAATTCTAGTGTGTTGGGCAGCCTCGAAGAGAAGTGCATTTGTCGTGAACATGTTTTTCCCTTTATATTAGTTTTTTTTTTTTAACTAAACCTATAAACTTGTGTCATTGGGAATCAGCGGCATTCTCTTGCTACCATCCTGAACAGACTAACATAAAACTGGTCCTGTCATAAGATGCTGTTTGATATTGCAATTTTATTTTTCCATTTGATTATAAAAAGACATCTTTTTCTATTTCTCTTTCTGATTTGTAGTGATTGTGCAAACAAATGTACCAAGATAAGGAAAAATCCAAATCACTGTGGTGCTCCATGATGGGGATAATGTTGTGCTTTTTAAGGTTATACCTAAAAGAAGTGAAGTGATTTCCGAGGAGACTGAGCACCATTTTCCTCTGCTTATGGAAATCTCTCACAGTCCTCTTTCCGCTTTCCTTTTTCAGGCCCAGCACACCCACGATGCTATCACAGAGGCTGCCCAGCTCATGAAGGAGGCTGTCGATGACATCATGGTGACACTGAATGAAGCCGCCAGTGAAGTGGGGCTGGTGGGAGGCATGGTCGACGCCATTGCAGAGGCCATGAGCAAGGTAGACCTGGGCTCCCAGGTGCTCACCTTCACCCCTTGACCCCAATTCGTCCTCGGTTTCCCTCAGATGTGGTCCCTAGGTGCTTTTTCTAAGGAGCGGTCAGCCAAAGCGGATACCAGTGACCCTCCTCTTTTCCTGAGGGTTCCGATCAATGTACACACATCCTATCCTCTGTCCAACATGTTATTCATTCTTGATTCTTCATTCATTACTTTTGGAAGCTACTCTCACCTTGTCTTCCAGTTTTACACAGGGGAAAAATAATGGAGAGGGAGAAAGTATCATTGGTTCCTTCACTTATAAAATGGAAATAGGTATTTACCTCCCTTGTTTACCTCCTAGAGTTGTCGTGGGAAACAAGAAGGGATTCCCAAGAGCTGGTCTTCGGAATGGCTACTTTGGAATCGTGGGGAGCACATTCCTAGGCTCTACCCCATCCCCGATGAGTTGAAATCTCTATGGAGTTGAGCCAAGGAATCTCTGGATTTGTTTTTTTAAGACTTTATTTATTTGACAGAGAGAGAGAGAGCACAAGCAGGGGGAGCTGCAGGCAGAGGGAGAGGGAGAAGCAGACTCCCCCCTGAACAGGGAGCCCGATGCTGGGACTCAGTCCCAGGACCCCAGGATCATGACCTGAGCTGAAAGCAGACGCTTAACCGACTGAGCCACCCCGGCGTCCCAGGAATCTCTGGATCTTTTAAATCTCCCCATGGTTTTGGTAACCAGGTGCAGAAACCACTTAAGTAGTATGTATGAAAGCCCGTAGTGAGCTCTTGGAGGCAACGGGCGTAGAAGAGAACGTGACAATCATTTCTCCTCTAGTGAGTCCTTGGTTGAGTTGGATCAATAGAGAAGTGTGACTGGAGAGTGTCTCCTGCTCTTTCCTCAAGGAGTCCTTCGCTAGTCATGTCAGTTTGATAGTCGTTAAAATTAACAATTGTTCATCAACATCTGATTTTCATTCTGTGATAGCATAGCCAAGAATTTTAGATTTTGTCCATGTTTTGAAACGTCCATTGTCAGATTGTGAATACATTATTATGGTTTTTCAGGGTAATAAGTGGTCTTTAATTGCTAATTTAGAGAAGACTGGTTGGTTCGTATCTCCATAAAGAGGTGATAGCCTGAAACTATAATTAGGATAATTCCCCTTAAACATTCATTAGGCAGTCATTACCAGACTGAGAGAGTCACGAGCCAGGCGGGGATGCCGGGACTGCTTTAGAGACCCCAGACGTGCCTTGTCAGATCACTCTGGTAATTTCTGCTGTGGGCTTCTCGTGCCTCAAATATGGACAGTTTGGCAGAAAGTGAGTGAAATTCTCCCTCTTTCTAAAGCCTTTGGGGAAGTCTCCATGGGTGTGTTTGGTTTTCAGGACATCGGAACACCCGAGCTTTGAAAGGAAGCCATGTTTGTACCAAGGTTATTCAATAATGGCGCTCCAGTTTTCTCAATACAAATTAGAAATTCAAATGATAACCTTTTTCTTCCTAGGAGAAGGTATTTTTCCGCATGACTCTAACAATAGGGAAGAGTTCCATAAATCTCTGGAATATGGAAGTCAGATTCTTGAAGGCTTTTTTTGATAGCCACTGAGCCTTGCATATCTAGATGGATTTTCAGTAAAGAAAGCAGCTCTTGTACTGTCTGATGTCAGTGGCTTGGCCGCTGCTCTCCCACTCAGCCCAGGACGCTCTTGACTCTTTTGGAAGGGCTGGGAGAGAAGTCTGGCGTTACCTGATAGCAATAGTTAGGAATTGCTAGCCACAGGAACCACAGAAGCCAGGAACAAAGGGTTCTTTCCTCCGTTCTGCAGAATATACAGTCGGGGTTTTATTGGTACCCCTAAACTCCTGTCTACCCAGACCTGACACCCAAGGTTCTACCCAGGGCCTCTTCCGCATTCTCCCCTTGTTCAGCCTACCCCAACCTGCCCATTACTGCGCACTTTGTATTAAGGGATATTCCAGGGTCTTTGAGCCCCTAAGCAGGAAGGGGTTAGAAATAGGGCGTTTTCTGAGTTTCAGAGTTTTGTTACAACATTGATGTACTGTCAGCATCGTTGTCTGAAATTCTCAAAGGCATTGAGTGACTGGCAGAAAAAAATGAGTGTACCCAAAGTTGAATCTAACTTGGATGTAATTTGTGCCACTTTTGGTGCTTCTGCTGTGGAGGTTCTTCCTGGAATTCTCTGTGTCTGAGCACCAGAAGGTTTGGGAATTGATAGGTTAATATGAAGTAATCAGGTTTGGGTGACCTTGGACAAAGCACTCAAGCTCTCTGAACCTTGGTTTCCCTATTCAATGAGGTTAGTGGTTCTCAGTCTTGGGGATTTTGTGACCCACTACTTTTTCTTTGTTTGCTTTTTTGTTTGGGTTGTTTGGTGTTGGTGGTGGTGATGGTTTTTTTGTTCTTTCTGACCAGGGGAGGAGGTTAAAGAAACAAGCCTACTCTCTGCATCACTACTATTTCATACAAGAAAGGTCATGTTAACATTCCCCCTCAAAAAGAATAGGAAGGCTATAATCTCAGAACAAAAGAAAGTTCTTTGAACTAAAGAAATTTGAGATCCATCCAAAAAAATTGACCACTTTGTTCTTCCCTTTCTCATTGTCTTCGGACTGGCAGGTTGTATTCTAAGCTGCTCTCCAGCTCCAGCTCCTGGTGTGTTTGCAGTTAGGCCATAGTTCATATGAAGTCTCCCGGCACATTGCTGGACCCAGTCAGTTTCCACCAAGTGAATGAGTCCAAAACTCAGTCCTCATTTGACCAGCAGGACCCCCATAGTGTGATGGAGATAATTGGCAGCAGCTATATCCCTGATAAAGAAACCCAGAAAAATCTAGCCTGGAGTCTGTGTTGATGCTTTGATGGAAATTACATTCCCAAACTGTGCAGCCACATCACACATAGGCTGCAAGGAGATGTTCCTTCGGTTCATATTGTAGTTAGCGCCAGCTTGTGACATGGAGCTCTTATTGAAGACTCCATCTAACATTTCCTAAGTGCCCTCTTGGCCCCTAGTCTCTGCCCCCACTGCAAACTATCTGGCAGAGATCTGCCAGGAAGATCTTCTCAAATATGTTGTTGTGTATCCCAGATCCCACCATTTTCCTCATGATTTCAAGGTTCTTCATCGGACAGCTCAGCTTCATTCCCACTGCTCTCAACAGCCCCCTCTTGTGTTCACTATACTCCTTCTTCCTGTATTCATTTCTCCTTATTTTGTCTCCTCACCTGGAATACCATTCAGCAGTCAATGGTGACAGTAATGATAATGATGATGGTGAAGGTGTCGCCTTTTTCTTCATCATGGTCATCACTGACATTATCATCATTTTCTTCATCATCCTGGTTGTCATCTCCTCTTTCACATAGCTCTTGGCCAGGTATGGTCTCAGTTGATGTGTACTCCAACCTTCCGATGCTAAGAAGTTTCCAGTGAAGGACCTGAGATTCAGAATTTAAGCAACCAGCTTGAGGCCCATTCATAAGCCCTGGAACCAGGCCTCAAATAGAAGTCTTCTGAACCAATATGTCCCCAATCCTTCGAGGGACAGAGCCACTGTCCCACTGGCCCCAGCTCTTCCCCCAACAGTGATCTCTCCCGTCTCTCAATTGCTATTGCTCTCAGAGTCAGATGAGCCACAAATCATTCCTAGTGCTTCCAGTTCCTTGTCTTCCCCAACTTAGATCAGAAGCGAGGGTTCCAGGGTACAGACCTCTGTGGACTGCACCATTCCTAGGGAAGCCCTTCACGATAGAGATTCCGCCTCCTCTCCCGGCTCATCTTCTGCCATTCTGTGCTCCCCTAGATGTGTCTGGCCCATGCCCACCGCCATGTGCTTGAACTCTAATCCACTTCTTGGGACCCCTTCCCTACCTTTTATATGTAGCGGACTCCTCCCCTGCTAAGACCTGGCAGAAATGTCATTCCTCTGGAATGCCCTCTGTCTCCTCTCAGACAAGGCTTGGGGCCCCCTTGCCTGTGTACCCCAAGTGCTGTCTTTGCACCTCTGTTAAAGTCCTTATCACCAAAGCTGGGGGATGCTGTTGCCTCTAAACCAAAGAAATTCTGTGGGCGTCTCCATTTTTCAAAGTTCCCGATTCTAATAAGTCCAGTGCACACTTCAACTGTCCTCTCCTGACATGTGGGTTCTTTTTCTCTCCTCTCTAGCTGGATGAAGGCACTCCTCCAGAACCAAAGGGAACATTTGTCGATTATCAGACGACTGTGGTTAAATATTCCAAAGCCATTGCAGTGACAGCTCAGGAAATGGTAAGAGGAAAAGAGCTGCCCCACCCACTGTCGGTTGCATTGGTGTCCACCACTACCACCACTGAGTCTTCAAGTCGGGGTCTGTGTGGGACAGAGACTACCCCGTGTTTCTAGTTCCTTCTGGGCCCCAGCTCTGTCCTTTATCTGTGGTCTCTCTGGCTGCCTGTGGCCTAGACACCCCCATCCACTGGAGCTCTTGTTTCATGGAAAAGCTGCAAGAGGGAATTACAGATAATTGAGACTTGGGCATGAGGACAGGGGAGCAGAGGAGGGAGAGAAAATGAGAAGGAAGTTAGAGGTAAGGGGAAGGGAGAAAAATCCTATTCACCTCGCAAAGGACTTGAGGTGTTTTTATAAAGTTACATACAAGAGAAGACATGTGGGGTGGAATAGAGATTGTCTAATGGAATCAAGTTACAGTCCTTGGACAGAGAGATATGCCAGTCTTTCAGGCAAAATGAAACAGCATGGTTATATAAAGACAATTTCCCTGACAACAGAAGGCATGTAACTTTTGGAGGTAATTTTCAATTTTTCTTTTTTTTTTTTTTGCTAAGAGGTATTGCCATCAGAATTGTATTACATGCATCTTTAGATAAAAACGGCATTGAGAGACAGAGAATGCTATCCTGATAGATTAAAAAGTTGCACAAAAGATGACAAAGGGTGTCCTCACAGAATAAATAGGGGTATGTCATAAGAAATTTCCTCTTAACCTTCGAAGGCTCAGATGACACGGAATAAAATTTGGGAAGATGCCCCTCTGCTGCTGCCACACGAGGCTAGTTGAGAGTTGAAGCGGTCCCCTGGCTGGAGGGACCACACTGAGCCGTGCGCTGTTCCTGCCCCCACCCCAGGCCGGCACCTCGGGGTGATTCTGTCATGTAGTCGTGTGTCCACTAGAGGTTGAGCTTGGACCACAAAGGCTTCCCTGGCCCCTGCTCTTTCTTAGAAACTCTGTGATTGTGCCAGGTTTGCTGTTGCTTAAAAGGACTTGGGCCAGGAAGGGGAATAGCAGCAGTGCCCATCTCAGGGACTAAAAGAGCTGGAGTCAGGCCCCAGCTGGTTCTGCTCCGGGGGAGTCCAGGGCAGGACGCAGGTCCGATCAGGCAGCCCCATGGTGCCAAGTGCTCTGAGCAGGGAGCACAGCGCCGCAGGAGGTGAAAATATTTGGAGTGGCCTCCTCGTGTTTCTGGAGTATCTCCTGGGCTAGATTCTCAGCAGGCCCATCTTAAGTCTTGATGCCCATGCTCTTCAGGAGCCCAGCCGGGGGTTGCATGGCTGCTGCTAGGTTAGCTGGCCTGGGCCCTGAGTGGGCAAGGGTCCCGCTTCGCCATGTCAGGTTGCCCCAGAATCGCTGTGTTCTGCATGGCAGGACTCAAACGAAGGAGCGCTAGGCGCAGCCTCCCTCTCTCGGGGTTCAGCGTGGGTTCCTTGGGAACCACGCCTACACCTGAAAGCCTGTGACATTTCCTGGTAAACGTGCCTTAGACGACTACATGTTCCCATCCAGCCTCTGTGGATATGGAGCCATTTAAAACATTTTTTTTAAGCCCTTTAAAGTCAAGGTCTTCTAATGCCACCAAGAGAGAGAAGGGGTATGGCAGGAGGGATCCTCTTACTCAGGAGGGACAAGGACACCTTTCTGGGCGGCAGTTAAAACTACTGTTCAGAGCACTAAGAGGCGTTTTGTCGGAGGAAAAAGAAAATCTAGAAACTAGTGTGTTAGCTAGGTAGGATAAATTTAGGTAAGTTTTTCTATGATGCAGGCAGAAAATACTAAATATCCTAATAAGGAAAAGGCAGAGCTCAACCATTTAGGCTACAGTGGACTCTTAACCAAATTTGTGGCTGAACCCTTGTTATCCTTTGGCACAAATTGATTATAAATGTGTATTCTCTTTGAATATCTTCCTCCCAGATATTGGGCTCACCCATCACTTCTCAGTCATGATTTCCCTAACAGCCCTATCCTCATGCCCTCTTGCCCGGGTGGGACCTGCTTCTGGGTTCCCAGAGACCAGGTCAGCAGCAGAATGTGACCAGGGATGGGCACTGCCTGAGGCCCACGCCCCCTGCGTTCCCCAAGGGAAATCTCATGGTGACCCGCGGGGCCGGGCCGGCTGGGGCTGCCACGCTCACCTCCCAGAGTGGGCCATGAGGGCCTGCCCAGCCTGAGCCTAGCATGTCGCCCACTGGCCCCGCCAGGACCTGCTGGCCTGAGAGGGGCCCTGGCCTGTTGTGCACATCGCAGCATGGGCTTCGCTTGAATTGCCCTCTCCAGCCCCAAATGCAAGTCCAGAGCTTAAAAGTGAATGAAACCCTTTGGCTTCCAGTGGTATTAACACATGGTTCTCATGCTTTTTTCCGTGTGTGTGTGTGTGTGTGTGTGTGTGTGTGTGTGTGTGTGTGTCTTGCTTGTTTTCTTTTTCCAGATGACTAAGTCGGTTACTAACCCGGAGGAGTTGGGAGGACTGGCTTCACAAATGACCAGTGACTATGGGCACCTGGCTCTCCAGGGCCAGATGGCAGCAGCCACGGCGGAGCCAGAGGAGGTCTGCCACCATAAGCCCCTGTTCTCAGATGCACATGCACACTGGTTACCCACTCCTGGGGGGTTCTTGATAGCTTAGCTCCCCCCTAGAAGTTCCCAGCCTGATAAGTTCCCACCGCTGTCCCGCCAGCCCCCCAGGTACAGACCCGGTGGCCCCGGGCTGTGCTCAGAGCCCACTGTCCTTTCTGAGGCCCGCAGATGGAGAGCTGGGTCCACCTGGGGAAGTGGGCTTCCAGGCAGACGCCCTCCGTTGAGACTGTCCAGCCAGGTTGCCTGTCTCCCAGCCCATTGCCCGGCTCCCAGAGCGCAACACACACTGCCATCTTCCTCTTGCTTAGTGCATCCTCCTCAGGGATTTTCCTGTTCTCCAAAGGCTCCCAGCAGTATTGGAAGAGCCAAGTATGGGAGTTAACTGCCCCGATCTGAGAAAGGGCTGGGTAGCCTACTTTTGTGACACAAAGTCTTACCCAACTATTGTTGGTAACTTTCTACAAACCGTCCCCCATATCTTCTGTGGACTCCTCTTCATTACCTGCCTGTCTTCCCTAAACTCGCTTTCCTTAGTGGCCAAACACAGACTTCGCCTCAGAACGCCTACACCTGTAAGAGTCTTAATTTGGCCCAAGTGTGGTCCCAGAGGCCCCTTTCTAAGAGCCCCCTGTCCTGTCTGCTACACCTGAGTAATCTAGTGATCCCCCAGGAAGCAAGCGGGCCGGCTGGAGCGGCGCATGCCCGATCACACCCAGGCCAATGTTAGCACATACAAGGTGCCCTGTGCCCAGCTCCCGCATGGCTCCTTAGAGACACAGAGCTCCGTCTGGAATAAAGAATAGGGGAGTAGATTGCAGGGACGCTGGGGAGATGAAGGTGACTGCATTCTGTGACATGCAGCGGGCCATGTATTAAGCACAAATCCTGTTGATGATATTCCTAAATGAAGCGGGCTGTCGGGGGGGACGGCTGCGACCGGTCTTCCCTTCTCCTTGCAGTGACAGTCTGTGTCCCCAGGCCCCTTAGTGCCGGGTCTGCCAGGAGTCCATCCGAAGCACGTCTTCACAAAGACTCCCAGAGATGATACAGAAATGACCCAAAACAAAATCCCTTGCTAACATATGTCATAACAACGCATGTAAACAGGAGTTTCATATGTATGCACTTGCATACATATATATCTAGCATGGGATGACGTAGGTTTCTAACAGTGCCTGCACTTTGAGATTTTAGTATGGTTGAGTATTTAGGCTGCAGCATGAATAATTCTGTTTGTAATGAGTCTGTGAAGTCACTACCCAGAAAGAAAAATCATCAGAACCCACCCACCCCACCCCGCCCCTGCCCCAATCAGGATTCTGTGTAATGTTGAATTTCCTCAACAAGCCTAAGGGAACTTACGTTACAGGAAGGAACAATCTGGACAAAAGGAAGAAGTGTTAGGCTTTGCGGGATGGAAAAACAAAGAGGCTGTGGGGAGGGTTTGGATCTCTGTTTCCAGAAATCTTTAAAAAATGGAATCTAGATCCATCAGGTCAGTTCAGACGTTGACTGGCCTGAGTTACTGAGTGAAGAGCCCATGATCTGTGGAGACTTTTCCACATTTGAGTTCTTAGAGCTCCCCAGCCCACGTGTGAAACAAGTAGATTTTCTCCCTGCAACCCAGACCGTGAAGCAAAATACAAAATAATGTCAGAGCAGCCAGGAAAGGAAAGGTACCGCTGAAAGCCCCACACGAGATTACTTTAGTCCCTGGCCTCACGTCTGTAGCAGCTGACATTTTCATTAAGGTTCTCCCTTTACACCATTGCATCTTGAGTTCTATTTCACATTCCAGACACAGGAGCACTGTGACCTGGAGCAAAAAGGGGCAGAGAGAATATACAATTACCAGTGGCTTGCTAAGGAAAATTCTTTGTGTGCATTTGCCAGACAGATATTTAGGGGAAAACTGAGAAGGTCGGGGAGATCCCTAAAGCAATGTAGTTTTTTTATTCCAAGACTGTGGAATTAGTTTTCTCGCCAAGAGGGCCCCACATCACAGCATGTGAAAGTATTTCTATCGAGGGCAGGGAAGAAGCTGCTCCCTCCTCGCTCCAGTCCTGCAGGCTGCCGTGCCGAGTCAGCGTTTTGGTCTTTTCCAGATTGTGACAACTACAGGAGAAGCCCAAGGTCTGCCCTCTGAACACCAAGCAGGAGCTTTATCTGCTGCTTTTTTCAGGGAAAACTCAAACTCCCGTTAACACCACTGTGAAAACTCCTTTTTTTCAGGAAAGTCAAAACCCTTAGGCCACTTCCCAATCAAAGATCCCTGTTCTCTTTTTTAAAAAAAAGAAGGAATTGGAGATCCTCTGAGCCACCAGTGCTAAATATAAATGCTGGGGGGGGGGGTGCGGGGGAGATCTAGTGACTACGGCTTTGTCTCTGAGGGAACTCTGCCGTGACCGCGTGTAATACTGCGTGTCTTCAAAGCTGGTAGGAACATTTGTCGCGAGCCCATGGCAAGAACCACAGCCTTTTCCCAAACATGAGATGGGTGTCTACCGTGGAATTCTCTAAAACTTTCCGCTCCGAGACACACTTTCTGTAGGTGGAAAGTGATGCCCTGTTTCTGTTCTGTGCTCATGATTCTTTCCCTTCCATGTTTTTTTTTTTTTTTTTTCTTTTTAAGGAGAAACTGTAAAGCCTGTCAGCCAACATCCACTATTGCTTTTCAGCATTCGCAGGCTCTCCAGGCGAATGATATTTGACCTGGTTTTAGATGTGATTGTTTTGAAAGCCTGAGACAAATGTGTACATTTTCTTTAGTTTTAGGCAGTAAAGAAGATCAGTATTTCTGAGACTCCCTCCAAGTGAAATTTGATCCAAAACTTCATCAAGGCCAGACTTCCAATTTCCCCCAGGACGTAAAAGCAGGAGACAATGGCCATTTGGGCAGGAAGGGAATTGAGGGTTTTTCTTGACGTTCGAGTCATGCTTTACTGCAGTCGCCAATTTAAAACCCCAAGTTGAATGTCTGAGCAACATTCCTTTATAATACACACTGGTTGGTGGTTAAGTCAGATCACCCTAGGGGCTGGACAGATTTGCTGAGAAACTTAGTGTTACTTTGAGAAGTTAGCCTTTTTAAAGCCCTTATCTTTTTGAATACAGTCTTAAAAATGCATTCCCTCTCTCAGATGTTCCTCCAGCAGTACAGAATGTTCTGGGAAATTGCAGTAAGAATGTGTTGTTTCTGTTGTCCCCTTTAAGTGCCTGCCCTAGCTGTCCCAGGTACCCGTGGAAAAGAATAATCAGAGAGATGTTCATCAAGTCCACACCACAGATCAGATCCATGCTGGGGGCTGTCCCATGTACCCTCACAACTCCACAATCCTTGGTTCTGCCCCATTTCACAGGTTAGCAAACTGAGGCTCAGGGAACTTAGTTAAATGGTCCAAGAGCACACAGCTACAAGAGTCAGTGTGGAAGCCGCTTGAAATAACTTTTTGGAATAAATGAAGTTTCAAGTAAGTAAAGAAGTAAACATGGCAACGTCAGGATTCAAACCCAGGGTATCACAGCCTTTACTCCTTCCCCCTCACCCCCCAACCTACCCCTTGTCACAGCATTCATGTGGCATTTCCTACCTTGAGATGTGTTCACACATACCTTTCATTTGCTCCATCAGCCCTGGGTAGTAGAGCAGGTTCTGTTCCATTTCGCAGGTGAGGGAACAAAGGCCCAGGAGGTTAGCTGGCTCACCCAGGGAGTCGATGGCCAGGGAGGGGCTGGGCCAGAAGCAGAGCCCGTGGGCTTTCCTGCTGCCCGTGCTGCCCACGGGGGTGAAGAGCTGAAGGCAGGCCTGGGGCTGGCATCTTGGATCCCTCCCCTTCCTATTGCATTCAGCCCTCTTAGCCTGTGAAAACAAGTGAAGCCTATTTCAACATGTCCTTCATGATACCAATCCTTCCGCATGCTGTCCAACTAGGACTGCGCAGCCAAGCATATAGGAGGATTGCGTGGCCAAACCTCAAGGTGGCCTCCGGGCACCAAGAAGGTAATCATGTGACCAGGACCAAGCCCTGGGTTGTCCAAGAACCCCAAGGGCTCTGTATAACTCTTGCCTTATATTAGGCTTATCCCTTTGCTCTCTGGTGCTAGTCTTTGTCGGTGCTTCCTACCTGGAGTCTCCTCCCTAATGACCACTGTCCCAACTCTGCAGTGCATTTGCAGGATCCTTTGCTGCATGCATGGTGTCCCCTCCAAGGAAGGGGCTGAGCATCAGGACGTTGGGGTGTTTTTCATAGCAGGGCCTCTCGCAAGGGGGCTGAAGGAGCATGAGAGTGTCATTGAGGATGTGTCATGTTTGCCCATAGGTTTCAGGCTTGAGTCAGTGGAAGAGTAGGTCCCTTCACCCTCGCACCTCCAGGGCCATTTGGGAGTGACTTAAGATGCCTGTGCTTGCCCCAGTGCCCACCATTGTGTGGACAGGAAGCTCAGGTGTGGTTCTAAGCAAGGAGCAGAAGTGGGACACCGAGCCTGGTCCTTCCTAGCACAGGGGTTTCCCACCTTACTCTTCTGAGCCCTGGGAGGCGCTTTGCAAGTTCTGCACGTTTGACTCAAGGCTCACTTTTTAAACATAATTGAACTATTTTTAAAACTCTTAGGAAAAACGGTGTGTGTTTTTGAGTAAACTCTGGGCCAGGCCAGTGATAACCCACTGGGGGCCGCCAGCACCTTACCGTGGGCCACTGGGTGATTTCATGCAGACCTCAGGCTGATGCCGCTTCTCCCTGCTAGGGTTCGGGGCCTACAGGAAAACCTGTACGGACATAACAGGATTTTCTCAACACCGCAGCCCAAGCAAAATGCAGAAATGAGGCGGTGGCTGAGGCTGTTATCAGGCTCCAGAATCTGACTTTTAAACTTTGATTAACTTAATCTCATTGTTGACTTTTTATTGAGTCAAGGACATAAACTTTAACTCATAAAGGAAGGGTATACTAATAACACATTGTATCAATTTTACATGTTGAGTTTCCAGGAGAGATTTGGTAGGCGGGGGTTGGGGGGTGCAGGGATGGTACCAATGCTAAGTGGGGAAAAAACGAAATTAGTAAACACTGATCTGATGGGTAGAGCGACCTGGGTGCTCATCTGGCTTTGCCAGACACTGGCTGTGTGATCTTGGGCCAATCACATCACTTCTCTGAACCTTCACAGTCTCTTCATTTGTCAGCGAGGAGGTTGAACTAGTAAGGTCAGTTTTATTTTGAAATTCTGTTTCTTCTTCCATTTGCCCCCTACCTGGCTCTCCCAGCCGTGCCTGTCACTTAGAGACCTGTGGTCATCCTTGACACAGAGCTCTTGCCTGTGGATTAGCTCTGATCCTCGAGTGTGTAGGGATCGGAAAAGGCTCAAGAGCCAGGATGAGTTTTCAGCTTTCATGGGGCATCCCCCAGCTTCAGCCGGGCCTTGTGTTTAAGCCACTAGACATGCCCAGCAAACAGCTACATTTGGGTGTTTCCGCTGGGTGGTTGAACTGGAGTGCCTCTCCCCTCCTCAGTGGTAGACCTGTTTGCAGAGCTGCCAGCTTATAGGATCTTCATGTTGTATTTCACCTGGAGATGGTCCACAGGCAGCCCTCCCTGATTGTGAGGCTTTGGCAGCACCCCCAAAAGAGCCAAAGCTCCACCTTCTGCATCAGGAGAATTTTCCATTAAATGGATTTTTTTTTTTTAAGATTTTATTTATTTGACAGAGGCTGAGAGCACAAGTAGGGGGAGAAGCAGGCTGGGACTTGATCCCAGGAGCCTGGGATCATGACCTGAGCCAAAGACAGATGCTTAACCAACGGAGCCACCCAGGCGCCCCTGTTAAATGGATTTTAAATATCCTTTGGGCCTTAAGGGGATAAGGGAATTACTTTTTTCCCTAAAAGCATGATGTGTTTCAATAATAGAGTTAACATTTGCAGCCCCCTTCACTACCCCAATCCCCCCCTGCCTTAAACTACTCAACTAGGACAATGCTGGAAGATAGCACCCCGGTGGTCCAGATCTCCCAGCTTTTACTCAGGATACCTGAGATCTTAGTAGTTGTTCTTGGTAGATGCTGGAAGGAGAAGCCACAGCTTCTTGCTATCATGGAGTCTTGGAAATAACACTTATTAACTAAAGCTTAAGGTGTTTTGCTTTTAGTTGCTTACCTGGGCTGGAGGACAGATTGTTTATGGCAGCTGTATTGATCAGACCAAAATGAAAATTGATGTGAACAGCCAGAGGAATGCAAACTTTGGGAGGTAGAATTTATTAGGCCTTAAAGAGACAGCTGACAGCCTGTCCATCATGGAGCTCATTTGGGTTCTTTTAGGCAAAGTACCTTTTATAATCACACAAGTCAGCGGTCATTAACAGAATGTGTGCCTGCTGAGCCTTTAGCTCTAAAAATATAGAAACCACAACCTGGCCGGATAGAAAGGAAGCCTGGGCCCAGCAAGGTGGCTCTCACCACGGGACACAGCTGAGGAAGGGGGTGTTCTGCTTATAAATATACCAATTTTGCAGGAACCTGAATGCTTTATGCTTCTTACCAAAGCTATCTATTTTGAACTTATAATTACTCTCTAGAGCTGCTGTGCAGAATAAATGAAAGTAAATGCAATCCCTTCTCAGGAGAGGCCCCGACACACAGCAGGAGCTCAATAAATGCATGAATGACTAATAATTACCGCCTCCCCCCCCCGAGTTCTTCTAACTAACATTTCCGTCAGGTGGCTAGGGATGCAAGTAAACAGTACACCAGAAAAGGTAACAAATATCAGAAAGGCATTAGGCTAAGATGATGAGACACAGGCTTGCTTCCTGGGGACCGTGGACATTTTACAGGCTCTAAAAAGGGAAGTAAAATCAACCAAATTCCATACTCCACCAAGCACAGACTCCTAACAGCAATGGAATTTTCCTAGCCAGGCTCCCATAGGATGTAGAAGAAATTTTCCACGTAGGGAAGCCCTCGATGGCAGAATCCATCATGCCTCTCCTTCCCCACCCCGGGCTTGCCTCCACAGATCGGCTTCCAGATTCGCACTCGTGTGCAGGACCTGGGCCATGGCTGCATCTTCCTGGTGCAGAAGGCGGGGGCCCTCCAGGTGTGCCCCACAGACAGCTACACCAAGAGGGAGCTCATCGAGTGTGCCCGCGCAGTCACAGAGAAGGTAAGGAGCAGCCCTCGGGCCCCACGCCGCCACAGTAATCCACACTGGCCCTCGGTGGCCCACTGTGACCAGGGATATCAGCGGGAAGCTAAGCCAAAGATGATCCAGTCAGGGATTCCCCAGGGATGGGGTGATTCATAGCCCTGAGACACTGAGAGGGACTGTCCCTCAAAAGTCAGGGCCCCCACGGTGCACTTTGTTGATGGGCTTTCCTACAGACAGACTGGACAGACCGTAGCAAAGTCACATGAGCACCAGGAGCCCCTCCCTGCAACCCCTTTTGACACTCGTCCCCTGGGCTTCCTTCTCTGGGAGGCTCCCAGGTGCTGGGCCCTGGGAAGGACCTAAAGCTCTCTTAGTGTGACCTCTTTCCTCCCAGAAGAGACCGTGAAGTGGGGAAGCGTTGAGCACCCCGCCCGAAGTGGCCCAGCACCATGGTCGAGAGAGCAGGAGCCCGTCGGAGGTGGAGAGAATCCTATACGTAGCGTAGTGCGTGGGGCTCTGGGGTCTCAGCGAAGTGACCTCCCCCTCCCGAGCCTGCAGAATGAGCCCAGGGAAAGACAATGCCGGGCCCGTAGGGTTAGGAAACTGGAATGCGGTGGTGTGTGTAGAAGTGCTTGGCACAGGGCCAAACACACGGTTCACCGTGGCCGACATCCTGGCTGTGGCTGTCTGTAAGCCATCCTCCGATGCTCTTCTCCCACAGGGTTCCCTGCTGGACAAAGCCCGTCCTCAGCATCCCTTCATTCCCGGCGCTCCCTTACACCCCCCACAGGATACTCGTCTCCTGTCTGGCTTGTTTCTCCAAGTCCTTTTTCAGGACAGCTGTCCTCCAGACCACTCAAAGTGCAAGCTGAAGCATCGGTGCTTTGCTGGCTTTTCCCCTCCCTTCACTCGGGTCCCCAGGACATAGAGCTGTGCCCTGTTTAGAAGCTGGCAACAGGACTTGGGCGGGCGGGGGACCCCTCACCTGGCAGCTGCCGCTGCAGAGGCCACTCTGTACCTGGCCCCGCGCCGAGGCCGAGCGACGTCTGGCCGTCTCCTGCAGCCCACAGGCCTGCCCAGGCCTCCTTGGACTCCACGGGATGAGGCAATCCATCTCTGAGCTGGAGGAAGGCATTCTCCCTCCTTTCAAAGCCCTTCCTTGTTGTCGAAGTTACTCTGGCCAAGCTCCCCTGTCAAAGACCTTAGAACTGGCACCTGAAGGAGGGAAGGCGGGGGTCCAAGCTGCATGATGTTGGCCAGTGGGACCAAGCAACATGACCTTGCTGAGTTGTTCTCCGTCTCTGCTTCTCCCGGCAGAGGTGTCCCTTAGGACACCTGGAGGAGGCTCAAAAGCAGGGAATCGGCTGTTCAGACTAAACTAGCCTTTTCGGTGCTTTCTTGCTCCGTGTTCCTGCCTTGCCCTCTCTACCTGGTGTGTCTTTCTCACGTGGCTTGGTTGTGTCTGTAACTTCCCACCAGCCGTGAGCCCTTGACTTGCTCACCTTTGTGTCCTCATCCCCTAGGGACTAGTAGCCGCTCAATAAACTGCTGACTTGTGCGCCTTTTGTAGCAGGCGGGACACTGTTTCTGGACTCTCTCTCTTTCGGTCTGGCTGAGAACGTCCCTCCCAGACTTGGGATTCCTTGTCTTGGCCTTTGTCACCTGTCCTCTGGGAGTTCTTTCCAGAAACTGGATACTTCATTCCCAGGCCAGCTCTGTGCCATCCTGACTTTTCCTGGTGGGACATAGTAGCATTTAACTCCAGGAGGGAGGATCAGGCAAATAAGGAAGAGAAACCAATCCTTGTGGGCTGGTCTTGGGACGTGGCAGGTGCTCAGGAAGTGGGCCCCCCGCCCTGCCTGCTAGGCTGTGTCCACCACCTCTGCTCAGATCTGAGCAGCACAGAAGGAAGAGAGCATACAAACTCTCTGCCCCTCACTGATGCTGTAACTCCTCGGTCCTGGTCAGTGTGTTTTTAAACAACGCATTCACAGAATATTTTCAGACTCTTCTTTGGGTCAGCCATGGTCAAGGATGGTGGGTGTGTGCATAGAGATGAATAGGACAACTCCAGATGGTCTCCAGACTCAAGAGTCTCCAGTTGCTCGCCAGATGCATGCTGTTTTAACCTGTGCTAAATGGGCTGTCCTGAGGGCAGAGACAGCAGCAACTGTGGAATCCTCAGGAGGCACAGCTATGACTCTGGATGAGGACTTTGAGCTGGCTTTTGCAGGATGAGCCAGTTGGTAGCTGGAGAACAGGGAGGGGGCGTTGCAGGCAGGGGGCAGATACACCGCAGGAGGGGCAGGGGATGTTTGGGGAAGTGAGGAGCAGGCTGATGTGGCAAGAATGTCATGGGAGGCCAGAAAAGTTGAACTGGTTGTGCAAGGAGCTCATCTTCCCTTGACAGCAGGGGAGAATTGTACCCAAGGGTGTGGGGGAGTTAGCTTTGTGTTGTAGGAAAGTGTCTCTAGGAACAGTGGGGGTGTTCTGGAGGGGGTGATGGGTGGCAGCAAAGGGTTTCTGGCATGGAAGTCACTGGAGTGAACAGAGCCAACTTGCTGGACTCTCAGGTCACTGGAATTATTACTTAGGGGCAGGTGATAGCGCAAGGGAGCGTTTGGGTGGAGAGGTGACATATGCAGGTACGCTTCGGGCTCTAGCCACAATGGGGTCCACCCTGAAGCATTTCAAATCCAGAGGCAGCCAAGGGCAGGAATGATGAGTGTTAGCAGAAGGCTGTTCTACAGAAAACCTGATCAGAGGGGACAGAAATGGCCACACCTTTCATAGGAGCCTGAATTTGTCTCTGGTCCCAGAAACGTAATCCTATTAAAATTATCTGCTCTCGGGCGCCTGGGTGGCTCAGTTGGTTAAGCGACTGCCTTCGGCTCAGGTCATGATCCTGGAGTCCCGGGATCGAGTCCCGCATCAGGCTCCCTGCTCGGCGGGGGGTCTGCTTCGTCCTCTGACCCTATCCCCTCTCATGTGTTCTCTCTCTCTCATTCTCTCTCTCTCAAATAAATAAATAAAATCTTTAAAAAAAAAAAATAAATAAAAATAAAAATAAAAATAAAATTATCTGCTCTCTACTGATGACTTACTATGTGCCATGCTAGAGAATAGATATGCATCCCCCCCCCCCTTATTCCTCCCAGCAACCCTGATAGGCAAGAAATAATATCCCCATTTTACAGATGAGGAAACTAAGGTTGAACAGTTGCCCAAAGTCGTTTAGCCAGCAAATGATAATGCTGGTACTCAGCCTGAGATGTTGACACCAAAACATGTGTTAACCCATCAGCTGCATTGAGTCCCAGAGAGAAGATTCACTGTTCTTGTTTGTTTTTTACTTTTTCCCCTGGTTTTGAGATATAATTGATACACAGTACTGCAGAAGTTGAGGGTGTACAGCATGATGGTTTGTCTTTCATGTATTATATATAAAGTGATTACCACAATAAGTTTGGTTAACATCCATCATCTCGTGTAGATACAAAATAAATATACTTGTTTCTGGTGATGAGAACTCTTAAGATTTACTCTTAACACTGCTGCGCAATATATACGACAGTCAGTTGTAGTCATCATGTTGAACACTATCTCCCTAGTACTTAACTTATTTTGTAACTGGAAGTTTGTGCCTTTGAAGCATGTTTGTTCAATCCACACCTTCCCTCCCACCAGAAAACTGCTCCCTTTTGCTATAGGGTTGGTTGGTTGGGCTTTGTTTTGTTTTGTTTTTCATTTTTATTTGATGCATTCAAACAAACAAAAAAGTTCAGCCATTTCTCCTAACTCCCGTCCCCCACCTCTGGCAACTACCAGTCTGTTTTCCGTATCTACCAGCTTGGGTTTTTTGTTTTATTTTAGGTTCCACGTATAAAAGAGATCATATGGCATTTCTTTCTCTGACTGACTTCACTTAGCAAAATGAACTCGAGGTCTATCCATGTTGTCACAAATGGCAAAATTTCATTCTTCTTATGGCTGAATAATATCCTACTGGATAACATACACCATATTTTCTTTACCCATTCTTCCATCTGTGGACATTTCGGTTGCTTCCATAGATTAGCTGTTGTAAATAATGATGCAGTGAACGTAGAGGTACATATCTTTTTGAGTTAGAATTTGTTTTCTTCAGGTAAGTATCCAGACCTGCATTTGCTGGATCCTATGGTAGTTCTGTTGGTAGTTTTTTGAGGAACCCCCATATTGTTTCCACAGGGGCTGTGCCAATTTACATTCCCACCGACAGGGCACCAGGTTCCCTTTTCCCTGCATCTTTGCCAATACATGTTGTTGCTTGTCTTGATGATCTCCATGCCAGCAGGTGTGAGATGATATCTCACTGTGGTTTTGATTTGCATTTTCTTAATATTTAATGATAATGAGCATCTTTTCATGTACTTGTTGTCCATCTGTTTGTCTTCTTTGGAAAAAATGTCTATTCAGCTCTTCTGCCCGTTTTTAATTGGGTTGTTTTTTTGCCATTGAGTTGTATGTATGCTTTATATATTTTCGATGTTAAGCCCTTAGCAGATATATGATTTGCAAATATTTTCTTTAATCAGTAAGTTGCTTTTTTCATTTTGCTGATGGTTTCCTTTGTTGTGCAGAAACTTTTTAGTTTCACATAGTCCCACTTGTTCATTCTTGCTTTTATTGGCTTTTGTTTTGGGTGTCAGATTCTAAAAATCATCACCAAGACCTATGTCAAGGAGGTTACTGCCTATGTTTTCTTCTAGGAGTTTTATGGTTTCAGGTCTTACATTCAAGTCTTTAATCCATTTTAAAGTTTTTGTGTTTATTTTTTGTATATACTGTAATTTTTGTGTATACTGTAAGGCAGTGGTCCAGTTTCATTTTTTTTTTTTTTTTTTTACATGTAGCTGTCCAATTTTCCCAACACCATTTGTTCAAGTGACTGTCCTTTCTCCGTTGTATGTTTGTGGCTCCTTTGTCATAAATTAATTGACTGTATATGCTTGGGTTTATTTCTGGGCTCTCTGTTCCATTGATCCACGTATCTGTTTTTTATACCAGTATCATACTGTTTTGATTCCTATAGCTTTGTAATATAGTTTTAAGTCAGGGAGCATGAGACCTCCAACTTTGTTCTTTCTCAAGATTGCTGTGGTTACTCAGGATCTTTTGTGGTCCTATAGAAATTTTAGGATTGTTTGTTGTATTTCTGTGAAAAATGTCATTGGAATTTTGATAGGGATTGTGTTGGATCTGTAGAAAGCTATCGGTAGTATGGACATCTTAACAATATTGATTCTTCCAGTCTGTGAGCATGGAATATCTTTCCATTTATTTGTGTTTTCTTCAACTTCTTTTTTTAACGTCTTGTAGTTTTCCATATGCAGGTCTCTCACCCCCTTGGTTAAATGTATTCCTAGGTATTTTATTCTTTTTGATGCAGTTGTATAAATGGGATTATTTTTTTAATTTCTCTGATAGTTCAGTATTAGCTTATAGAAACACAAAAGACTTCTGTGTGTTGATTTTGTATCCCTCAACTCTACTGAATTCATGGATTAGGGCCTGACAGTTTTTGATGGAGTCTTTAGGGTTTTCTGTATACTGTATGTCATCTGCAAATAGTGGAGGTTTTACTTCTTTCTTTCCAATTTGGATGCCTTTTATTTCTTTTAATTGCTGGATTGCTTTGGCTAGGGCTTCCAATACTCTGTTGAATAAAAGTGGCAAGGGTGGGGAATCTTTGTCTTATTCCTGATCTTAGAGGAAAAGCTTTGAGCTTTTCACCATTGAGTATGATGTTAGCTGTGGGTTTGTCATATGTAGCCTTTATTATGTTGAGATACGTTCCCTCCGTACCCACTTTGTTGAAAGTTTTTATTATCAATGGGTGTTGAATTTTGTCAAATGCTTTTTCTATATCTATTGAGATGATCATAAGATTTTTATCCTTTATTGATGTATCACACTGGCTGATCTGTGGGTGTTGAATCATCCTTGCATTCCTGGAGTAAATCCCACTTGATGATGGTGTATGATCCTTCTAATGTATTGTCAAATTCAGTGCCCTAATATTTTTTTGAGGATTTTTGTACTATGTTCATCAAGCGTGTTGGCCTATAATTTTCTTTTCTTGTGGCACCCTTGTCTGGTTTTGGTATCAGGGTAATTTTGGCTTTATAAATGAGTTTGGAAGAATTCCATCCTTTCCTATTTTTTGAGTGGGGTTTTTTTTTCAGTGATACTTGAGCCTGAAAATCTTTGGGTTACATTTTCTCCATTTCCCCATTCACCCTGACATCCCCTGTCTGCCTACAGGTGTCCTTGGTGCTATCAGCTCTGCAGGCTGGGAACAAGGGGACCCAGGCATGCATCACAGCCGCCACCGCTGTGTCTGGGATTATAGCCGACCTGGACACCACCATCATGTTTGCGACCGCGGGGACCCTGAATTCAGAGAACAACGAGACCTTTGCAGACCACAGGTATGGGGGTGGAGGTCATCCTGGGGGCTCCTGGATGGGGAGAGATTTAGCCCGGCCTGATGGACTTGGGAGACTCTGCCCAGGAGCCAGGCATGCGGTTAAGCATTTTGATTTCAATAAGATGCTCAAGGGGAGAAAGTGAACCACATAATCAAAACAAGCCCTATTTGCCAACTGTAAACACATAGTCATGTTCCAGCTTTGTGCCTTGGCAGCCTCAATCCAGCCTGCTCTGGCAGAGGACAGCTTTTTGATCTTCTACTTTCCAAGCTAGAGAGATATGCCTCTGATTTGCTCCCAGCCCCAGCGGGAGTGGGAGTGGCCAGGACAGGCCCATTTAGCTGTGACATAAAGGAGAGTGGGGCCCTGAGCCTGCTGTCTGTCCCACGCTGGCTCCTCAGGCCCTGCTCCTGGAGGCTGGTGCTGGGGTCTCCATCTGCCACTGGAGAGTCCTCCCCTATAGCCTTGCCGCATACCCAGTACCTTTCTTCCTCTCTCTTTAGTCCCAGAACTGGGCTAGGGAGGAGATTACCAATGCTGTCACCCACTCCACGATGCAGCCCTGTGGGTTCTGATGACCTTGCAGCTCTCTGTAGCTGTGAAGTATTTAGGGGGAACCAGAGGAAAGAAGCTGACCTCTCACTGAGCTACAGGGTTGGGGGAAGAGGGCCAAACTGGTGGGCCTGAATCTTTCACTGAAGTTTACTATTAATCGACTCCGTGGATACCGGGCTGACTCTCCTCTTCCCGTTTTCCTACATAAGACAGTGAGCACCCCGATAAGGAAGGGGAAATCCATCATCTCTGTTCTTTAAAGCCCTTTAACAAAAAATCCCTTAGGGAGGGTTTCTTTGCTTCCTAACTACCAGTAGCCAAGCTCTGCCCTTTGTCCCTCTCCCCGCTTTCTCAGGGAGAACATTCTGAAGACAGCCAAGGCCTTGGTGGAAGACACGAAGCTGCTGGTGTCGGGGGCTGCGTCCACGCCAGACAAGCTGGCCCAGGCAGCGCAGTCGTCAGCGGCCACCATCACACAGCTCGCTGAGGTGGTCAAGCTGGGGGCCGCCAGCCTGGGCTCTGATGACCCCGAGACACAGGTACCGGTGGGGGTGGGGGTGCATCCGCCGTTTGGGGTCTGGCTGGAGAGTGGCGCAGACGGTGGTGGCGGCTCTGGGGGTAGAGATGACTGGTGAACAGTTGAGCACAGTGAGCATTTGGATATAAGAGCGAGGGAGCGGGCCAGGAGGGACTCTACATCACAGGTGAGATCAGCGAGTGGACGGTGGCTCCGGAGGGAGAGCAGGCTTGGCTGGGAGGTGAATTCAGGTGAGTTCAGTGCTGGAGAGAACACAGGTAGAACTAGAGAGGGGGCATAAGCCTGCACGGGTATGGGGGTATGGATTCAGGGGTTGTTGCCGTACAGACGGTGACTGCAACCACAGGAGAGGGAGAGCATGGGGCGAGAGGAAAAGGAGGGTTCAAGGCAGAGCTGAGGAAGCCACTGTTTAAGACCACAGTAAGGAGAAAGAGATGCCTAGGGAGATGGAGAAGCAACAGCAACGGGTAGGAGGAAAGCCAGGGCTCCTGACGTTAAGAGTGGGGGGGGTGTTTCAACCCACCAGAGACACAGCTGAGTTGTCAAGGGGCTCTTGGTGGGGAGTGGCCAGGTGAGGGTAAAGAGAGGAAGCCAGTGTGTATAGACAGCACTTGAGAGGGGGAGGGGAGAGAGGAGCTGGGGCTAGGGTAGGGCTCTGTGCTCCTATAACTCTGCTTTGGATTTAACCATGTCACTGATGTTACCTGCCTGCTCCTTCATCCTCAGCCTGGGCCCCCAGCTCCTCAGGGACAGCACCCACAGTTTACTGATCTTTGGAAGCTAAGCACCCAGCACAGCACAGTGGATGTTCCACAAAGATGTACTCAGCTGTTACTGAACACAGAGCCGGCCAGGGCCACCAATAGCAGACTCTCCTCATTCCCAAGGGCAGAACCTAAAACCCATCTGCTCTGTCTATCCCAGCACCGTCAGATGGCACACACCTCAGTTTTTACTGCTTAAACCACACTCCATTAACTCGTCTCTGGCCCACGGGGACGAAACTGGATAGGAAGCTGCCTACCATCCAGTGCCCAGGCTGACGACAGTTACTGTTGTGGTTCACACAAGGCCACCAGCTTTGCTGCCGTGTGGCCATGACCCTCCTCTGCCCGACATCCTCCAGTGGAGCAGAGCTCCGTGAGGAAACGTTCCACGTGTGGCCATTTTACTCCTCCTGCCCGATTTCTCTCTGATAACATCCAAGCTCAGATTGGCTGCCCTCTGGAATTCGAAGCATTCACACAAATCCCTGCCTGTGGTATTGTTCTTACCCCCATGGAGGAAGGCAAAGCTTGAAAGCGCTCAGTGGGGTTGGAATCCACTCTCTCTGAGCCTGGCGCCACTTGAGGAAAAGTGAACAGGCCGAGGAGCGTTTAAATCTTTGAACACAGAAAAGTGTATCAAATTGTTTAGAGTCTCAACGCCCAAATGGTCTAGATGTCCACTAGAGCTTCTAGGAGACTTCTAGTGGAAAATACCCCTCACAAAAATGTGCCTACTCGCCAGCCAGTTCCTAGTGACCAGGGACAGGACCGTGCACGCTGGGTGTTGGCAGCAACCTCTGCTTGCTGTCCCTTGCTCTCCACTCGCTGCTGTGATGGCCGGAAGCAGGCAGTGTGAGGTCCTTACCCGTCGGCCCTTCCTCAAGAGCCCCATCACGCGCTGACCTGCCCTGTGGTTTCAGAGGTTCCCTGCGCCCTGGGGGTGAGAAGGCACAGGACAGAGCTGGAGAGGGTGGGAGGAGCAGAGGCGAAGTGTCACTGGGCTCTTAGCCATCAGGGACACGAGTTTCTGATGGGTTTTCATGTACGTTATGCCGTCACCCTCGCAGCCCTGCAGTGAGACAGGGCTGGTGCTGCTAATGCCATTTGTATGTGAGGAGCCAGAGCCCTAGAGCGTAAGCGAGTGTGAAGGTTAAGACCACGACCCTTGGGATCACACTGACTAGCGTGTGAATCCCAGGCCCTCGGGGTGTGGACGGGAGCATCATAGTTACCACTTGGAATGGCAGTGGCGAGGATGAAGCAAGGTCATGGGTGGCATGCGTGGCTCAGCACCTGGAACGCTGCACTCAGTAAAGGGAAACTGTCGCTGTTACCAAAGTAGGAGTTAAGACTTAAATGTAAGGCAGGTCTTGTCATGTCATCCTGAAGTATGGCTGGGGCTTCAGACCCCAGGTCCAGCACCTGGAAAGATGGCCTGTGGTCTCTGCTCAATGATAAGAATGGAGATACCGTATTCTTTCCAGTGTTATTAGGGTGTGTACCTGACCATTCGGTCATTCCGTGAGTATTTCCTGAGAGCCCGTGATGTGCCAGACCCTGTTCTGAGTGCAAAACACACCAGGCAGAAGTGCAGGCTGGCTGTCCTCGAGCTTACCTCCACTTCGGGGAAGAAGACCGTAGTTCCACATACTGATAAGTGCTATAAAGAAAACAGGACACGCTGATGGAATTTCAGGTTGGGGGTGGTAGGGAAAGGTCTCTGAGGGCCTGACATGTGAGCTGAGACCTGACTGATGAGAAGAGCCAGGTTCCAGACAGAGAGAGGAACAAGAGCAGAGGCCCTGAAGTAGGAATGAGTGGGATTTGCCTTGGGGAAGAAAGACAGACCCATCTGCCTGTCGCATGTTAAGTAGGTCACAGAATCCTAGGAACCAAAGCCGGAGATGCCGGCGGGCTGCTGCAGAGGTCTTGCAGGCCAGGGTGTAAGGCTAGTGTTTGGTTCTCCATGGTTTTGGTTACCAATTCAGGGTGTCTGTGAGTGGTGTTGGCTCTCAGAGGTCTGCTTCGCTGCCTGCATCCTTTCCTAGGTGACTTGTCATCAGAGCTGCCAGCCAGGAGGTGTTTGAACATGCTGAGCATACATGGGTTGTGTATTCTGGCTCAGTGTCAGTGTCCGTTGGGGAGACTCCTGCATCAGCATCTTCAGGGGTGGCTCCTGGAGAGTCTGCCTTGCTGCAGGCTTGAGAGCTGCAGAGATAGAGACCTGCCTCCCAGATGCCTGCACCTGGCCCCCAGGCTGTGTGCTCTTGGTGAGACCAGCAGGTGACTGCTGGGGCTACTCACCTGGGCTCTCTGCTTTCTTTCAGGTGGTGTTGATCAATGCCATCAAAGACGTGGCCAAGGCCCTTTCAGATCTGATCGGCGCCACCAAGGGAGCTGCCAGCAAGCCTGCTGATGACCCCTCCATGTACCAGCTCAAGGGGGCTGCCAAGGTAGAGGGGGGCCCCAAGTCAGGGGCAGGTGTGGAGGGAGAGTTGTATAGTGAGAGAAACAAGAATAATGGGAGCGTATGCATCTGAGCTCCTTCCTCACTTCGCAGTGGTTTTGCTCATGGCATCAGATCTGGAACTAAAAGGAGCGGGAAGTGGACCTCAGTGTGCTCCTCACTTTCTCTCGGCCTCTCCTTCCTGTGCAGGTGATGGTGACCAATGTCACCTCCCTCCTCAAGACTGTAAAGGCGGTGGAGGACGAGGCCACCCGGGGCACACGGGCGCTTGAGGCCACAATTGAGTACATGAAACAGGAGCTCACGGTAAGGAGCCAGCAGCCACCTCCCTCGGGCACCCCTGTGCAAGAGCTGACCCCAAAACACTTCTCTGAGATGTGTAGCAGAAAGAGGTTTTACCTAGAGTGCCTGAGCGAGGGCGGCCCGCTCACCTACCTGCTGGGAACTTTGTATCCTTGAGGCCCCGTGCATAACTGACCGTATCAGAGTTTGGCTACAATTGATTTGGAATTAAGAAATTAATTAAAATGTATCATGTAGGACTCTTCAGGTTTAATTCCACTAAGATCGGAGCATGAAACCAAAGCATTACAGAAGATTCCTGGCGAAGGGAAAACTCCTTGTGACTGTTTGCTCTCACCTTGAACTTAAATGGTGTGTCTGCAGCACAGAGCGACACACAGCACCTCCTGATTCCCATTGTTGTCAGCAACAGCTCACATCGCTGCCCACATACAGATTCTGGTGTTTGAGGTTCCCTAGCAGAGAAACCTGGATGCCTTTACCTGAGACACTTCCCTTTAAAATTCAGCATCCTTCTGTTGGCGATCCTTGTGATCTCAGAGAGATTGCCCATGTGTTCTGTCTTGCCTTGTTCCAGCGTCGTAGAGTGAGGGTGTCCTGGTGCCTGTGATCTGGATACTGTCCCTGTTCTTTTGATCCCGTGATGGTTATGGATTGACTCATCCTAATCCCTAGAAATAAAAATATGCTGAACATGAGTGGTTTCGAACGAAGATTTCTTTCTCGGAGGAGGTCTGATCATAGATTCAAGTTCTCTTTCGGGGCGGGGAGTGGGGGTCCTGCCTTTGCTGCCAGTTATTCTGCATCTATAGAGGGTCACCTAGGAAGGCTGAAAGCCCCTGTGGATCAGCAATAGAAACCAGCAGTTCTTTTGGGGTTTGGTGATGGAGCCTTGGGTTCTCTTGTCCTGTTTTTAATGAAACCAGTCTTGGTCGGCGTTATACTTGGTTCTCACACAAAGAAGAAACTAAAAGTTGTAGGCTGTGTCTTTAAGCCCTGCTGCCTGACGCTTACCTGCCTACATTAGCTAGATGTTTCCTATCGAAAGTCTGGCCCCACATTCTGGGAGGTGTGGGTGGGACTAGTGGTGGCAGTAGAGGAGATTGGAAATTCAGAGCTCTCCTGGAAAGTTACACATAGTCAACCTCCGTGTACCAGTGTGGTCTGGCATTGACTCGGGTTGTGTGTTTCTGTGGACATAGGAAGTTTCCAAAGGAACATGGGCCACATGGGCCACATTATTGTGAAGGGCTCCATACACGTGGCATCCATTCCACTAAGCATTCAGCTTAACTGTAGCTGCCCATTTCTAGGGGGGTGGTCATGTTTGATGCTGCTTAACCCATGGCAGGGATGCTGGCTTGGGTTCTCCCCTTTGCCCCAGGAGAAACTACCTGACTGAAAGGTGGTTGCCTAGGGCTGAAGACAGAGCGGCCCCCAGTTGGTCCAGGAGTCCTCCTTGTGGGGGGACAGCTGCACATTGAACATACAGCCCTGGCACCAGTCACTCGTGTTAGAGAGACAAGACAGATGGGCTTGAAGCAGAAATGGCTGCCTTGATTGACAGGTGGAATTTTAAAGTGGGATATTCACTTACCATGGTTAAATTATTTCAGCTTCTCTAGAGGGGTGTGTGTGTGAGTGTATGTGTGTGTGTGTGTGTGTAGTTTTAAATAATTCACAGTGTCACTGTGGCGCATTCGACATGAACGCCTCCACACAATTATGCAGTTATATTTGTAAGACAGACTAAGAATAGAAGAAACCGAACGCTCCATTTCCCTCAGCCCCACACCCTCTTAAAGAGAGAGAGGTGAGTTCACAGGGATGTATCCAGGGTCCATCCTGTGCAGGAACTGGCATCAGAACTGCGGAGTTTCTGGGAGCTACTGAAGCACTGGTGGGGAGGGTCAAGATCGGGGAAGCCACACGACTGCCTGCCCCAGGAGAGTTTACAAGTACCCGGCGTCTCTCTGTGCAGACGAACGCGTTAATGCTGTATCCATGTCTCCCTCACCCTCATCGTCTTGTGACCATGAGTCCTTGAGTACAGGTGTGCAAGGCTGATCTGTGCTAGATTCTTGAAAGCAAGAATAATATTACTCAAATTAAATTTCTAATTTCCTGCCATTTGACGGTTTCTTCCTGTGGCTGGCGCCGTTCTCAGACAGTGAGCAGTAGCCCAATCGGAAAAGAATAAATTATTTTTGTCCTGCCTTTTTTTGGTGGTGGTGGTGGTTGTTTTTTTCACCTGTTGTATTTCTTAACTTCCAGGTGTTCCAGTCCAAAGAGGTACCTGAAAAGACCTCATCACCTGAAGAATCGATAAGGATGACGAAAGGCATCACCATGGCGACAGCCAAAGCCGTGGCCGCAGGGAACTCTTGCAGACAGGAGGACGTGATCGCCACCGCCAACCTGAGCCGGAAAGCCGTGTCCGATATGCTGACGGCTTGTAAGGTAAAGGCCTTGGCGTTGTTTTGGGCGGATCGGTAATGCTCGGTCGTGACTGAGTTTTTGGGTTAGCCTGGAGAAAGGGAGGGGCCGGCCACATGGAGAAGGGAGCAGCTCGGTACCTTACGCTCAGCAAGTAGACGCGTGCTGGAGGTGTGTACACATCTGCCCGGCAGGGGCGGGGGCGGGGGGGTGACTCTCGAGCATAGTTTTAGGTTTGAGAGGGGATGGCGCTGGTCCGCTGACTATCCCTCCCATGTTTCCTCTTCCTGAGTAGGCAGATTCCTTCTTAGCAAGGGCGTAGGGGAGGCCACTCTGACAGAGGCAGAGGGCCTGTGGCATTTTGTTCCTGGCCCTCTGAACGAAAATTGCATCCCGCTTCTGCCCGACCCCTTTCCTGCCTCCGTAGGTCAGCATTCTGTGCTAGGAGGGGTGCTGCTGTAACTGGGTGAGGACGTGAGTCGGAGGAACAAAACAGAACCTTGGGAAACAAACTGCCTTCTTCCTCTCTGTGCCTAGATGTTTTGCAGAAACTCCTCTGATCCTTGGCTAGACAAGCGGGGTGGCTGTCCTGAGCCCAACCTTGGTGAGGGAGCTGGTGGGACCTGAGTTTTAGAAGCTTTATTTCTTTATCTCTAAGGAAAGTGAGCTGTAAGAGCCCCCCACCCCCACTGAGCACCCCACCCCAGACCTTCACCCTTCTGGGGACAGCCATGTCCCAAGGACTCTGGCTTCCGCTCAGTGATGGATTGATAACCCCCGACCATGGTGAGCAGGTGGGGATAAGTCACAGAAGTTACAGAAGCAGCTGGGGTCTGAGGAGACGGGGCCATTCTTAGTGGTGAAATCAGTTGTGTGGGAGAGCTCATGCAAGGTCCAACTGATGGCCTCTCGGGGATCCTCAGGGCAAGTAAGATGGGTTCGAGGTAACTGGGTAGTGGGAGGGTGCGGCAGCTGGCCTGAAGGGATGGGCGTGTGAGGGCAGAGCGTGGGGGGGCTGGGGAAAGGGGAAGAGGGTGGCAAGGCGGGAGGGATGCTTTCATGGGGGGCCACGTGTGCTGGGCCAGGGAGTTTAGACCCTCCTGAGGCCACGGGTATTTGCAATTAGGATTGCAGTTGGGATCTGCCCTCTCAGAAGTGACAACTCCCAGAGGGGTTACCACCTCCGTCAGAGAACAATACTTACTTAGCAGGATAGGCCTGAATGCCACCATGGTGTGCATGCAGGGCGCCTCACCGTTGTGGAAGGCTCTCCTGCAGATTCTGTCTTTTGATCCTGGATGGGAAGGGCAAGGGGAGTGATCCCAATTTGATGGATGATGAAACAGGCTTGGCGAGATTACATGGCATGACCATGGTCACACAGCTCTTTACTCTCAGAACTAGAACTGAAACCAGGTCCTCTGGTTCCATGGCCCGTCTGTTTCTGCTGCCCATGGCCTCCCAGCCATTAATGCTTAAGGACACTGAGGTTGATGAGTGACTGGTGCTTTGTCTCCATGTTACAGACATGAAATGAAAAGGGGAAATTAAACGGATTAAGGTGAGACTGGAAGGTAGCTCAGATTTTCAAGTCTGTTTGTAATGCACATAGCCCCATTCTCAGGGGAGGAGGGCAAGGATCCAGGTACAGGCGCCATTTGCCCAGCGTCTGCTCCTCTCTCTTGTCCTGCCCCCAGATCAGGCCATCCTGACTTGGCGGGACAAAATAACAGCCAGAGCTTCATACCTCAAAGCCAGACTTGGATGACAAGAGTCAGTGCTGAGCCCTGAGACTGCTGTTAGGATAGGACTTACTCAGCCGACTTACTGACATTGGCATTTCCTTCGGTCCCCGTCCTTTTGCAGAAAGAAATGAGGCCGCTTGCCAGAAAGGAATATATAGAAAACCAAGGGTACTGAGTGGTGGATCGAAAAGAAACCCTTAGATCCAGGCAGAGGGCCAAGTTGCCCTGTTGGAGCCCTGCCTTTGGGGCTGAGCAGGGTGGCTAAGCCAAAAATGGAAGTGCAGTGAGTTACCTCCTGGCTCATTTTCAGAGGATTGCACTAATTCCTCAGGTGGAGAAAGGGCTTCCCTACACCCTAAATTCATTCTCCTGTCTGTTTCTTGGTCTTACTTTTGTGTGCCTATGTATGTCTGCATTAGATACAATACAGTCAACTGTTACAACTGATGTCATATGGCTGTTTCTATGTTGGAATGAGTTATTATAACAGAGTCCTTAATGACCACTAATACTCTGTGAATGAGTATAATCTTACCCTATTATCAGATATTTAGGTTGTCTGCATTTTTTATCTGTACTTTAAACTCTACTGCCATGAACATCTTTGGGCATACCTGTTTTTTCTGTGCTTTGGATAATTTCCTTAGGCAGGACTCCCAGGAGTAGAATTAGTCAGATGGTAGGACATTTTGATTCTTGCCAGATGGCTCTGCCAAAGAGTTCTGTGAAGTTAAAGCCGCCAGCGGTGGGCAAGAGCGCCCACCCTCAGTCCCCACACAAGTCTAAATGGGGGTCTTCCAAATAATGCAATATATGTTTAAAAAAAAAAAAAAAAGAAGAAGAAGAAGGTAGCGGGAGGGGAAGAATGAAGCGGGGGAAATCGGAGGGGTAGACGAACCATGAGAGACGATGGACTCTGAAAAACAAACTGAGGGTGCTAGAGGGGAGGGGGGTGGGAGGATGGGTTAGCCTGGTGGTGGGTATTGAGGAGGGCACATTCTGCATGGAGCACTGGGTGTTATGCACAAACAATGAATCATGGAACACTTCATCTAAAACTAATGATGTAATGTATGGGGATTAACATAAGAATAAAAAAATAAAAAATAAAAAATAAATAAATGGGGGTCTTCCATGCTGCCCACTAGAAGTGACATTTGGTAACATCATAGCCTGTGTCTTCCCCCAGACATGGGCTCCGTCCTCACACTTGGAGACAAAGGGGAGCAAGAACGAGTAAAACACGGTTGTGGTTATAGGCGTGCCCATCAGTCCTCAGATGGGCAACACTGAGCTCAGAAAGGATAGATGATGGCCACTCAGATGATCCCCACCCCTTCTGGGATGTGTTGGGGGAGCAGGTGAGGGGCGAGCCCACAGGAGTTCCCACCAGCATTCCCCAGTCCTCGTGAGTGGAACAGACAGGAAGGCTAGTCACTAATCCCCTCCACTTTGACTTTTTATCCTAATGTGTGATTCATATGTGTGCTGATTTGTGATTTATTTGCAGTTTTCTCTTTTATATGTTCTGGTAAGCTCCAATTTCTTTCCGAAGAAAGGCTGGGAAGGGTTGCCCGATTTAGCAAATAAAAAAATTGGGTTTCTCAAACTTATATTAAAAATTTTGTATTGTTTATTAAAAATTCAGATGTAACTGGGTTAACTGTAATTAATCTGGTAACCCTGTGAATGGGTGTGCCATCCGGTATATCAGGAATGAATGAAACTGACAGGTCACAAGTGCAAAAAAAAACACAGGATGCTGTATTAACCATATGACCTTGTTTGGTTATCTCACCATGTATAATGTGAGGTGAGTTAGTTCTGGCCCCTCTGAGGGCAGTGGGGAGCTTACTGTCTAAAGTTTCCCAGGAGCCAGAGGGCCCCGGGTGGGAGACACTGTGAGGGCAGGTCAGGCCACAGAGTGAGGACCTGAGTGTGATCAGCCTGTGGACAGAGAGGGGCTTTGGGACCCCTTAGGCTGCTGGAGAAAGGCAGGCAGACCCCAGAACAGTAGATCTCCTGCTGTGAGCCTTAATCATGAATCTTTCCTGAACTTTTTAGTGCATGTGGAATTTCTTACATTTCAGTAAAAGGGGGCAGGGAGAAAGGAAGAAAAGGGGACCTGATTCCTGTGCTTTTGTCTGGCTCCAGGGCACTAAAAAAGGCAAGACACAAACCATTGTCTGAGAACTTACTGTGGAGAAGAACATGGAGGAGGGCCACCTTCTCTATCCAGGGAGTCAGGAAAGGTTTCTGAGGGTGAGGCAGAGGGAATTCCAGAATCGAGGTCTCATACCTATGGGTGCAGGGCTGCTCTGTGCTACTGGGCAGTTGACCCCCCTCACCCCTTGGCCCATTCACCAACTGGCTCTTCCTGTCTTAAGATGTCAATGTTCCTTTCTCTCTCCAGCAAGCATCCTTCCACCCTGATGTCAGCGAGGAGGTGCGCACCAGAGCCTTGCGGTATGGGACAGAGTGCACCCTCGGCTACCTGGACCTTCTCGAGCACGTCTTGGTGGTGAGGAGGGGCATCGGCCGGGCCAGGGCTGGGGAAGAGCTAAGTCAGATGCAGCCCATGCTTTCCTCGGGAAAATACCTCATAGAGCACTGTGCAGGCTCCCCTTATGAGTCTGGGGCTGGACTGAGCTGGAAAGTGTCCAGCATCACACTACTCCAGCACACTGAGATAAAAGAAGGGTCTAGAAGAAGTTGTAGTTAGCATCCAGGAGAGCCAAGCTCTCTCTTTACACCAAAGAGGCAAGAATAGCATGTAAGAGGGTGGGACAGGCAAAGCCACCAAAGAAACAGTGTTGGCAGGTCCTGTTAGGAAGAGCCCAGTCCATCCTCCGAGGACAGGGAAGGCTTCAGAAGGAGCCACACCGGGCTCCATGATAAGGAAAAACATCACCAGTGCTGCAGGTGACCTACCAGCCTCTTGTGACTTCCTCCAGTCCTTGAATGAATACCTTAGGCCACACTAAGAATGCTTCCCTTCCTCTGATGTCTGGAAATGCCCACATGGAGCTGGGAAGGAAGGCTGATAAGGAGGATGCCAGTGGGGGGTGAGTGGTCATGGCTATGGGCACTGTCCACCCAGAATCCTCAGGCTTGCACTGACAATCCCAGTTCTTAGGATGGCTTGGCTCCCTGCAGTCCTAAGGGCCAAAACGTGCACATCCGAAAAATATATTTGCTGTATGTCTAGCTCTGTCGAGTCCCGGAAACTACATTTAGAACATGGGAGGTGTGGGGTAGGCCCTAAGAGAATTTGTCCAGGAGTCAGAGACAACCCCAGAAGAGAATTGATGATGTCCCACATTCCATCACTGTTTGTTCTTCCCAAACCTATTTAAAAAAAAAAAAAAAAAAAAAAAAAATTTCAACAGGCCACAGAGAACCATAAGCCTTTCATCTGTGGGGCACTGAAGTTTTTCATTTTGTCCTTGCACTACCACGTGAGGCTAGCAGGGCAAAGGAAGGATCCAGAGAAGTGTGACGCCTTGGTGGAGGTCACCCAGCTACTAGGACAGACCTGGGACCAAATCCCAATTCTTACTATCTCCAGCCTTGTGTTCATTCTAGCATTTCACTGTCACCTTAAAATTAAATTACCTTTGAAGGGAAGGAAAAATAAAATAGGACAAAAACAGAGAGGGAGGCAAACCATGAAAGACTCTTAACTATAGGGAACAACCTGAGGGTTGCTGGAGAGGAGGTGGATGGGGGGATGGGGTAACTGGGTGATGGACTTTAAGGAGGGCACTTGATGTGATGAGCCCTGGGTGTTGTATGCAACTGATGAATCACTAAATTTTTCCCCTTAAACTAATAAGACACTATATGTTAACTAAATTGAATTTAAATTAAAAAAATTTTTTTAATTAAATTACCTTCTGATATGAAGCATTTTAGGTCTCCTAGGGAGCAGTACTTTTATTCTTCACCCAGGTTAAGCATGGTCCATGTGAAAGTGTATCTTCTGTGAGAGGAGGCAGTCTGTGGTTACTAACATTGAGTTCCCAAGCCTGAACTCTTGTGAACAGAAAGCAGTGTATTGCATGAGAACCTGGAAAAGAACATCTTAGCTGGTCAGCGTTCACGGGCATGAGCCTCTCCAGCCAAACCCACTTTCTGTGTTAGAACATAGTTCAAGTGTTCAGTCTGTGAGCATGCTTAGCAGGAAAATGAAGCCAACAAGGCCTCCAAAAGGTGTTTTTTCTTTCTTGGTGGGACAGTAGTCTTAGTCACTTAGAACCTTGTTCTACCTGAAAATTAGAAATTACAGCAGAAACAGTGGTAGGCTTAGGTTTAGAAGCTTTGTGTCCAGATCCCAACTCTGCCACATAAGTAGCCACGTGACCCCTGTCTGATCCGGACTTGAGTTTCCTCAGATGTTAAACAGTGTAAGGAATCAGTGAGGGTGTCGGGAGCCCCGGGCCCTATGGCTGCACTCAGTTTGCTGCACACACTTCATTGAAATCTGCCCACACGATGCACATTTCCCGTCTTGCTTTCTGTCTCTCGCCCTTTTTTTCTTATTCGTTTGTTGGAAGGGAAGTGATACTGGGATTTTCTTATTCATTCAAATGAGGGGTCCTCGTTTTACCCCTTTCCCCCAGCTCCATTTCTGGGGTGAACAGTATTTCTTCCAGCTTCTGTGTCTGGATCTGTGCAGGGTTGCTAACTTACCTGGAGCCTGTAGGTCCGGGCCCTGCCCACGCAGCCCTCGGGATGGCGCTGTCCACGTTGGCTCTTGAGCCATTTAACAGGAGTGTCTCCGCAGAGAGGGCCACCTCCAGCTGTGTATCTGGCAAACCCACAAACCTGGATAAAAAGGACCCAACAGCCATTAGGGTGTTCAGTGGAGTGAAGATCTCTCATTTCACTCTCCAGCAACAAGAAAACTTCTGTCTGGGAGAGGAGTTCTGCCCTCATGAGGAGGGTCAGAGGCCAGTGTTCAAGAAGTTTCCCCAGCGGGGAAGAAAAGTGGAATCTTCACGGGGTCCTCTCCACGACCTCAAGCCAACTTTAGACCCTTTGCCGCTATCTGAGAACCAGGTGCCACATCCACCAAAGCACTTCCTCTCCCCCGACCTCTCCTCTCCATATGCACCTTGTTTGGGCGAGGAAAAGACAGGGCTCCAGGAGGGGTGGGTATGTGGTTGGCCTCTTTGCCCAAGAAGAGGCCAAGGGATCCAGTGCCTCCATGAACATTAGGGAAGATGTAGGAGCCGTTCCCAGTCCACACATTCAGAGACCCCAGCTTTATGGCCACTTAATTACTATGTCAGGCATCAGCCCTAAGGATCATCATCAGGTTTTTCTCCAACAGAAAAAAGGACACTCGCTGCATGGAAGCTCCACATCGCGTGTGATTGGGGAGGTTTAACTGCGGGGGCCAGAGGTTGGCAAGACGAGGAGCAACCACTCCCTTCTTTTTCTGGGCCTGCCAAGAGCAGTTGCACTTTATAGCAGATGTTATTCCCTGGTGGCTGCTCATATTAGTTGATTGGTTTTCTATTATGTATTTTTCCTTGTATTTATTAGCGAAACAGGACTTTTAAGCCTTATGTGTTGTAAACTTGGATGGTGGATGTGTCTGTTAAAAGCCTGTCATCTGAGTTTCTTTTCATCTTTCTATACAGTCATCATCATTGTGACCCTGGTAGAAAGAGAAATGTCCTGTTTCCCCATAGCCGTTTTGAGGTACATGGTATGAAGGTAGCTAGAGCCAAAATGAAATCATGAATAGAAAGAGAAGCTGAATGGCACTGAAAATTTCACAAAACATGCAGGATTTGTCTCATCTTTTGCAAGGATGTTTTTGCCCCTCGATGACATGTGCTGATGGTTCTGACTTCCAGGGAAATACGAATGAATTAACATCATACATTTATTTGTTCACATACTTATTTTTGTCTCTTTTAAAAAGCTAGTTGTACTCTTTGGAGGTTATTTTCTAAGAAAAATACAACAAGAAAGCAAGCCTTTCCAGGGGATTATCATAACTATAGGAAAAACACAAGTTCGTAACTGAAAATTGCAGAAGCCCTGTGATGGTATTCTTGCACCCACGCTGTGGACAGTTTTGGTTTTCTTGAGCCTACAGCTGAGAATAAGGTCATGTCTCACATTGTTAGCCCTAATTCTTCCTCCCAGGCAGACTGGGAAGAAATCTGGGCTAACATGAGGCCAAGAGTAAGGAAGATTGTATGCCCAGGAGCCACAAGACTGCAGAGGCCAGCGCTGGTGGAGAACCCAGCAAGAAATAGGGAAAACGGAGACGCACAAACAGGGAAACTCACGTTCATTTCAGATACTGAGATGAACTATTTGAGGGTGATGAATAAAGAAGCAGTTAAACTAGTGATTTACACACACACACACACACGCACACATGCACGCCCCATCCTGTTCGCCTCTTCATTCTCTCATCTTCGTGGGAGGACCATGAGTAATAGGATGGCTACAGCATCTCCATTCTACAAAGAAAGTCAACCTAAATCGAAAGTGTAACGCGATATCTTAGGATAGTCCTCTTGGATCTCTTGTAAAGGTGACCTCTTGTTTTAATTGATCAAAGAGAACTAGTAAGATTCCTGGAAGCTGAAGAAAGGCTAGATCATTGTCCGATTCTTACAAAAGGAGAAAGAGAAAAGGTAGAAACTAAGGCTTGGAGACGGTGTCCAGCAACTTTACAGAAATAAATTGAGGTCACTTTCAGGCAGTACCAGGAGGTTCAGGGATCTTCTTTAGTGAGCTGCTTTTCTTAAATTTAGGCACATCAAAATGTGGGGGAGATTATGATGCTTTCGCTTTGTTCAGGTTAAATATCTTAGAGCCAAAGATTCTTAACTTTTTTGGCTGATTTGTATATTTCAGTTTTTACTTCAGAAAAGGCTTAAAAATATGGAAAACCATATCAATATCCATATGCCCACCATCGTTAATTAATTAATTTTGTTAATGTTTTGTCCTATTTGGTTCAGATCCTTATTTTTAAAAAATTTAGATATATCAATAATTTTGTATCAGTTATCAATCCCATTCTCCTTTTTTTCTCTAGGCACAAATAGCTATCATAATTTTAACCTCCTTAGACCCAATGGAGCTGAAAGTCCATTTCCTGCCTCCCACTACCATCATCAAAGAAACAGCAGTGCATGTACACAAAAGTTCCTTAAGCTGTTAAGAGGGTCCCCAGACCCCAGTGCCCAGCTGGATCCTTTAGGAATTGAGAGACCAAATCAACAACCCCTGCTTGGGTAATCCTTTCCTTTGGAGAATCCAGTTAGCCATCAACAAATAATGGGATCCAATTTAGGCAGAGCCCTGTCCCTGCTGCCCAGGGAGCTGCTTTCTGAAGCTTCAGACATGCCCACTTGAGCAGTGTTGGCCTCCCGAGTTTGCCATTGCTGGTTTGTCCTAGAGGATTTTGCAGGGCAAGGGGCAGCCACATTGCCTCTGCAGTAATCACAGTTCAATATTGCTGCTCAACCACAATGTGAGATCTTTGAC